TAAAGACTTTGGCTCCATGGCGATTAAACTGTATTCGTGTGGTCTGAGAGCCATTCACTTAATAATGTGCGCTCAGACCTGAGCTATCTGGGGATATGTGAAATGTCTGTGTTTTATGTATAAATGTGACTTTATGTATTTTAAAGTGTTTGGTGTCTCTTTGCAACCATGTGCTTAATGGAGTCTTGTGTCTATCCTGGGAGATAATTGAATTACTTATCTCCAGGATAGAAGACTCTGAAACTGGTTTGGGCCAAAAAGCCATGCTTCATTTAGTCACAAAGGACTTTTTACTAACTTTTGAACCCCTTGTCTGATTTGTGCCATTTTGAATATGTTGTTCCCCTGAATGGATTGATTGTGCATATGTAATTTTATGTGAATGTGATGTATGGTTTTAGAGTTATGAAAGTTGGGTAGAAAGTATGTTTTAACTGCATGTATAATTGAGTTTCCTCTCAGGATAAGGGGAGGGAATATGTGGGATGTAACTGTGATGTGATTGGTTGTTTTATACCTCCCTGTGGGCGGTCCTGTATTTGCAAGACTGCAATAAAAACCAGGCTGGGTGTGCCAGCACCTCAGACCACTGCTTGACCCTCAACACGGAGCCTTGTCTCGTTCTTGGGGGGATTCACTGTATGCTGTTAGAGACTGATTGCCAGGAGTGTAAGCTGTTCGTCTGCTTTTCCTGTTCGTCTGCTAGCAGCTATTTGGGAGGTTCCAGTTCGGGAGTTGGAGTGCTATTTTGTATCCAGTTCATGAGTTTTGGTGATTCTACAGTAGCTGTGCCTGTCTCTAAAAAGGGGATTATCGTCTAAGCGGTTTTTTCCCCTTTTGTGCAAAACGGTCCGTTACAATGGGATTTCCCCAAGAGATAATTTTGGATAGGGGGACCCAATTTACAGCCGAAGTGACCCACCAGCTATGGAAGTTATGTGGCATTAAGCCAATTGTAAATTCTGCCTATCACCAGCAGTCCAATGGGTTGTGTGAGCGCTTTAACGGTACCTTGAAGCAGATGATCAGGACATTTGGGGAGTCCCATAAAGACTGGGAGAGGTTTTTACCCCATCTGCTTTTTGCGTACCGAGAAGTGCCACAGGAATCTACCGGCTTCTCTCCGTTTGAGTTATTGTTTGGGAGAAGGGTGAGGGGACCCCTAGACTTAATTAGAGAACATTGGGAGGGGGGGAGCAGTGCAGATGGAGTCCCCATTGTGCCATACGTGCTGGAGTTCCGGGACCGCTTGGAGGCTCTAACCCAAACCGTACGGGAGAACCTCCGGGCGGCTCAGCGGCGACAGCGCCGGTGGTACGATAGGGGAGCCAGAGACCGTAGCTTTCAGGTGGGACAGAAAGTTCTAATTTTGAAACCTGTCCGCACAGACAAGCTACAGGCCACCTTCCAGGGCCCATACCAAGTGGTAGAACAGAGATGTGACACCACTTATGTGATCGGCCCGTGCTCTGGGGTAGGGAAACGACGCATGCTCCATGTGAACATGCTCAAACCCTATCACCAGAGAATAGAGGAGGTAGCAGCCATCTGTGCCCCAGCCACTGAGGATTATGAGAATCTGCCCTTGCCAGACATGTTAGAAAAGGAAGATTCTGCAGAAAACGCTACAGGTGTGCAGCTGGGGGAGCGGCTAAGTCTCCAGGAGCGTGCCCAGGTACAGGAGTTGATTGCGGCAAAAGGTGCTACCTTCTCCAATTTACCAGGGTACACTCTGTTAGCTACCCACCGAGTAGAGACCCCAGGACAGCTCCCTATGAGACAGACTCCGTATCGTATCCCTGAAGCAGTAAGGGAGCACATGAGGAAAGAAATTGAGGAAATGTTGCAGTTAGGGGTTATCGAACATTCAGATAGCCCCTGGGCATCACCGGTAGTGCTAGTACCCAAGAAGGATGACACCACGTGGTTTTGTGTAGACTACCGGAGGCTCAATGACAAAACAGTGTCTGACGCCTACCCGATGCCCCGTATAGACGAGCTGCTAGATAGGAAGGCAAGAGGCCAGTATCTCACTACCATTGATCTGTGTAAGGGATACTGGCAGATTCCAAAAGCCGAGGAGGCCATCCCCAAGTCGGCGTTTGTCACCCCGTTTGGCCTGTATCAATTTCAGGTCATGCCTTTCGGGATGAAAAACGCTCCGGCTACCTTTCAGAGGATGGTAGATCGGCTACTGGACGGGTTCCAAGAGTACGCCTGTGCGTACTTAGATGATATAGCCATTTATAGCCAGACCTGGGCAGATCATTTGAAACATATTAGTGTGGTCATTGACCGTATTGGAGAGGCAGGGCTGACACTAAAACCTAGCAAGTGTCACATAGGGATGGCAGAGGTGCAGTACCTGGGTCACAGGGTAGGATGCGGACAGCAGAGGCCCGAACCGGCCAAGATAGAGGCAGTAGCTAAGTGGCCTACCCCCAGGACAAAGACACAAGTATTGGCGTTCCTTGGTACCGCTGGTTACTACAGAAAATTTGTGCCCAATTACAGCGCCCTGGCCAAACCCCTGACGGACTTGACCAAGAAAAACTTGCCACGACAGGTCAACTGGGCCCCAGAGTGTGAACAGGCATTCCATGAACTAAAAACTGCATTAACTAAGGCTCCTGTGTTAACTGCCCCTGATCCAACTAAACGATTTCTTGTTCACACAGACGCTTCCATGTTTGGATTGGGGGCAGTACTGAGCCAAGTGGGAGCTGATGGCGGAGAACATCCCGTAGCTTACTTAAGCAGAAAATTACTACCAAGGGAAGTAGGCTACGCCGCCATCGAGAAGGAATGCCTGGCCGTGGTGTGGGCCCTCAAAAAGTTACAACCTTATTTGTATGGACAACCATTCTCCTTGCTCACAGATCACAACCCGTTGGTGTGGCTACACAGGGTGTCAGGAGACAATGCCCGGCTGTTGCGCTGGAGTTTGGCGCTGCAGCCGTTTGATTTCACGATCCATTATCGCCCTGGAAAACAGAATGGTAACGCCGATGGGTTGTCCAGACAGACAGAACTTGAGAAATGATCTGTGAGCACTCCCCCGGACATCCCCAAGCCGATCCGTTGGGATCAGACTGTGTATGCCGGCTTGGTTTTGGGGAGCATTGTGGCAAACCTAGCCACTTGGGACTGCCTAAGATAGAATGGTTGTGCCTATTTTCTGTTGTGTACTGCGCGCCGGTATAGTGTGGCGTCTCCGGCTATGTTTAATTTATGCTGTACTGTGTATGTCTGTTCGAATCCTCCCCATTCGTTAGCATTGCTATTAAAACTGACTAAGTTGTATATTTTGAAGTAGAAAGGTAACGGTTTATGTCCTCGTAGTTTTCATTACTGTATGTTACAGCAGGGGCTGTTGGGAGGAGGACCTGGAAACGGTAGTCTCCCTCCAGTCCCCTCAACCAAAACCCCTGCTGCCCATCTTTGGAAACCCCTGTTGAGTGACCTGCTTTAAATATCAGTTATTTTTAATAAAGTGACAGTTGAGTGACCTGCTTTAAATATCAGTCTTTTTGAATAAAGTGGCAGTTGACTCTCAGACTGTGTTTCGTCTGGTTCTTGGGAGGATTTGGGAATATTGCCTGCTTCCAGCTTTGTACTTGGTTATTGCATTCTACCAGCAGAGATCCTGGGATTATAAAATTGCAGCTCCGCAACAATTAAAAACAGAGGTTCACTTATTTCTACACTTAGTTCCTTAAGTACACGTGGATGGATACCGTCAGGCCCCGGAGCTTTGTTTATATTAACTTTCTTTAGTTGCTGCAGCACCTTGTCTTGAGTTAACCAATTACAATTATTCTGCAAGTTTTTAGTAGCAATCATTTGCACATCTATTGCCATGGGTTCTTCCTTAATATATACGGAGGAGAAATAGTTATTTAAAATTCCTGTCTTTTCCTGGTCTTCATTAACTAACACCCCTGTTTCAGTTTTTAGTGTACCTACACTTTCATTTTAGTTTTTTTTAGAATTTATGTACTTAAAAAATGCTTTGGGGTTGGTTTTGCTCTCTTTAGCTATCATTTTTTTTTAAGTGTGTGAGGAGGTGTGCAGTATGTGTGCAGTGTGTGGGAGGTGTGCAGTATATGTGTGAGGGTTGCAGTGTGTGTGTGTGAGGGGTTCAGTGTGTGTTATGAGTGCAGTGTGTGTGAGGGGCGCCGTGTGTGTGTGTGGGTGCAGTGGGTCTATGAGGGGAGCAGTGTGTGTGTGTGAGAGGTGCAGTGTGTGTGTGAGAGGTGCAGTGTGTGTGTGTGTGAAGGGTGCAGTGTGTGTGAGGGGTGTAGTGTGTGTGTGAGGGGTGCAGTGTGTGTGTGAGGGGCACAGTGTGTGTTAGGGGTGCAGTGTGTGTGTGAGGGGTGCAGTGTGTGTGAGGAGTGCATTGTGGTGAGGGGTGCAGTGGGTGCAAGGGTTGTAGTGTGTGCGAGGGGTGCAGTATGTGTGTGAGGGGGGAGTGTTTGTGAGGGGTAAAGTGGGTGTTAGGGGGTGTGTGTTATGGATGTGAGGGGTGCAGTGTGTGTTAGGGGTGCAATGTTTATGAGGGGTGCAGTGTGGGTGGGGTAAAGTGTGTTATGAGTGCAGTGTGTGTGAGGGGTGCAGTATGTTTGTGATGGGTGCAGTGTGTGTGAGGGGTTCAGTGTGCGTTATGAGTGCAGTGTGTGTGGGGTGCAGTGTGTGTGTGGGTGCAGTGGGCCTATGAGGGGAGAAGTGTGTGTGAGGGGTGCAGTATGTGTCAGGGGTGCAGTGTGTGTGTGGTGCAGTGGGCCTGTGAGGGTTGCAGTGGTGCAGTATGTGTGAGGGGTGCAGTGTGAGGGGTGCAGTATGTGTGTGAGGGGTGCAGTGTGTGTGTGAAGGGTGCAGTATCTGTTAGATGTAAAAAGATTACACAGGGTCTGGGATATTAACATAAAAAGGAGAATAAAAATAATTTTAGATAGTAAAAAAATAAAAAATAGTCTAAACCCACTCTGTAGCGTACTCCTCAGAATAGTTAATAATGTCTGTCTGTTGGTGTAACACCAAAAATCATTGATTACACATATCAGGTTAGGAGGCATTCAGATTTGTCATGGGCTTCATCCCCGTATTAAAGATGCTATAACCTGTGATCCTATCATTCTAAGCAGACCTAGCTCTCATCACTATCAGCCATCTTTCAATAATTCATCTGAAGTGGCCCAACGGTAGAGAACATACAGCACAGTGACATGAGTTTACTTACCAGGGTAAAATACAGTGCAGCTTGAATGGTTTATTCTCTTTACTATTCTTTAGATGGTGTGGGCCACCACAGAACGAATAGGATGTGGAGACCATTTTTGTGAGACGATTGAAGGATATGATGAGCCTAATGTTTACTTTATGGTCTGTAACTATGAACCACCGTAAGTTTCATTCACTTTTTATTATTTTAATGCATTCTCTTTTCATTGATCACCTGTGTACAATGTGGCAATTGGACCTGCAAGTAACAAGTATTTTTGATTAATTGGGTAAAACAAAATTCATTTTTATTGTGGCGAAAGTAACCTCGCCACTGGCTTTTGGAGGGGCCTGTTTGCCAGCATCTTACCCTGTGACTATGGCCCCTTTGTTAAACCCTGGTGAAACCACTGTTTGTGGCCTTTTTGGACATGGACAGTAACACTTCTGTAACAGATCCCCCTGTTGTTGGATCTGTAATTGTGTGAACAAGCTGTTCGTGTAAAATCCTTCGGCTAATTGACTGTATTTTATGTTATAGTAATGGCCGTTCGAATCACAAATTTTCTACCGAACGCCCGACCACCCAGAACAGAGCGCACTTTCTCCAGAATAAACTCACGAACAAGCCGCATCTAAAGAGAGTAAGCACGAACCGATCCGTTCGTGCAATTTGAACTTTATTCGAATGGAAAGATAGACCAACCGCACCAGCCTGAATCTGTGGAACTGTTTTGGGCATGCAAACAGGCGTGCGGTCGGTCCAAAGAGACTTTCAACTATCTCCTGAACCCCTGGACGGATGTACGTGAATTTTGGATATGTTTGTCCCCAAGTTATGCTGTTTATACAAATAAAAGTTTTATTCATATTGTATTTAAAATCGTGGAGTTATAAAAACGTATGAAAAGTATGATTTTGCAGCTTGGAGATAATTGAGTAGATACAGTAAGTAACTCAATTATCTCCCAAGCAGAGGGGAGGGAATATGTGGGTTGTAACCATTGTTTTATTGGCTAATGTATAATTGTCTATGTGTGTCTCCCTTGCATGGGAGAACTGCATAAAAAGAGAGTACCTGCCATTGTCTCGTCTCTTATTGGGGGTAACAGCTATACAGATATCACACTAGTTCTTGTAAGAGCTTCTTCACTTGGATCACTACTGGACGCTGAGAATACTCCTCACTGATCGGGAAAAGGACACACCCCAGTGGTAGAAACCCCTCTACTACCCAGGGTAACCGCTACAACTTCAAACTCCCAAAGTGGTTCGAAGCAGCACTTCGAACTCCCAAACGGTCGAAGTGGTTTGAAGCGGCATTCGAACACATGGCAACGGCCAGCTAAAGCTGCAAGTACAATGAGCGGTGTTTGGTTGTCGAGTTAATGGAACTCAAATTGGACACTCGATGGCACGAACACCGATAACTACACTGCTTAAAAAAATAAAGGGAACACTTAAACAACACAAGTCAATCACACTTCTGTGAAATCAAACTGTCCACTTAGGAAGCAACACTGAGTGACAATCAATTTCACATGCTGTTGTGCAAATGGGATAGACAACAGGTGGAAATTGTAGGCAATTAGCAAGACACCCCCAATAAAGGAGTGGTTCTGCAGGTGGTGACAACAGACCACTTCTCAGTTCCTATGCTTCCTGGCTGATGTTTTGGTCACTTTTGAATGCTGGTGGTGCTTTCACTCTAGTGGTAGCATGAGAGGGTCTACAACCCACACAAGTGGCTCAGGTAGTGCAGCTCATCCAGGATGGCACATCAATGCGAGCTGTGGCAAGAAGGTTTGCTGTGTCTGTCAGCGTAGTGTCCAGAGGCGCTACCAGGAGACAGGCCAGTACATCAGGGGACGTGGAGGAGGCCGTAGGAGGGCAACAACTCAGCAGCAGGACCGCTACCTCTGCCTTTGTGCAAGGAGGAACAGGAGGAGCACTGCTAGAGCCCTGCAAAATGACCTCCAGCAGGCCACAAATGTGCATGAGGGTAGTATGAGGGCCCGACGTCCACATGTGGGGGTTGTGCTTACAGCCCAACACTGTGCAGGATGTTTGGCATTTGCCAGAGAACACCAAGAGAACACTTGCAGTTCCTGCAAGATGAAGGCATTGATGCTATGGACTGGCCCGCACGGTCCCCAGACCTGAATCCAATTGAGCATATCTGGGACATCATGTCTCGCTCCATGCACCAAAGTCAGTTGTCAGATGCTTTAGTCCAGGTTTGGGAGGAGATCCCTCAGGAGATCATCCGCCACCTCATCAGGAGCATGCACAGGCATTGTAGGGAGGTCATACAAGCACGTGGAGGCCACACACACTACTGAGCCTAATTTTGACTTGTTTTAAGGACATTACATCAAAGTTGTATCAGCCTGTAGTGTGTTTTTCCACTTTAATTTTGACCTCCATGGGTTGAAAAATGTGATTTCCATTTTTTTTTTTTTTTGTGTGATTTTGTTGTCAGCACATTCAACTATGTAAAGAACAAAGTATTTCAGAAGAATATTTACTTAATTCAGATCTAGGATGTGTTATTTTTGTGTACCCTTTATTTTTTTGAGCAGTGTATTTACCTTCCATGGATTTTCAGCTATTTGAGTGGGGGTAGAACAGCGTTCGGTAAGAATAAACTGCTGAACAAGAGACATACACTGACTTTACTCACGAACGGCTACGTTCGGTATTTTGAATTTGAATTCCCAAAGAAAACCGTCTGCACAGCCTGATTCTCTGGAAATGTTTTGGGCATGGGACCATGCATGCGGTCAGTCAATGTGACAGATTCATCTGTATTGCTGGTTCATCTGTTTCCCTTTGTTCGCTGGATTCCCTGTTCGTATACCCCCGTTCGTGTAATTTGCAAACTACCGATTGAAACTACCAAACGAACGACCACCCAGGAGAGGAGTGTGCTGCTGGTTAACCTCTTGGCCCCAATTAGAACGTTGTGGTTAACCGCAGACACCTCTCCATTCCATTCGTACGGGTGGTCGTCGTTCGCATGTCGACCACGAGGCAGCGGCCATTTTGGGACACACGAACGCATAGCGGTGTTCGGTACAAATTGTATGGAACTAAAAACGGAGACTTAAACTACTGAACACCGCTGGAAGCTGATGCCCACCTTCCATTTCGACAAGGCATGCGAACGTCGGTCGTTCGGGAGTTTTTATTCATCCGTATGGACTTTTACCCAGACAGCAGTCCCATGGAGTCAATCGTATACCGAAGGACTGGTGAAAGACTTTGACTCCATGGCGATTCGACTAGATACATCGGATCTGAGCGCTATTCGGTGAAAATATGCACTCAGATCCAGGCTGTCTGGGGATACGTTACACGAACTATATTCATTCGGTATTTCTTCAGTTATGTATTTTAATGTATTTTTACTACTGTAATTTAAAATGGCGATTGTCTCTACCCTGGGAGATAATTAGGTTTCTTCCTAAAATATTTTACAGTCTTCCACAAGGTCCCCTCGGGGAGTGTCCACCTTGTGGAGACCTGCATAAATACCGGGCAGGTAGCCCCCATTAAACAGATCCTGATTTGACCCTCAAGACGGAGCTTGGTCTCGTTTGTGGGGGAATTATTACTGGGACAGCGCTTCGTTATTTTTAGCTGTGGAACGCGTTCGACTGTTTTGCTGTTCGGGAGTTGCCGTGTTCGTGGACTTCGTTCGGGAGTTTGACGGTCGGCTGGATATAAACTGCATTTCTGGAGAAGGGGATTATTTACTAAACGGCGGCTTCATCTACCTGGCGGTGAGTGTCTTAACAATTGGTGGCAAGCGACGGGATGAATCCTACCGCCCAGAAGGCCAGCTACACATCCCAGGTTGGAAATGCAGTATGAAGAGTTAAGGCGTGCTACCCTTAAAGATATATTAGAACGCAGAGGACGATCAGCGAGTAATCTCAAGAAAAGGGAGATTATTGCCATACTATTGGAAATGGATGCAGCACAGGGAACGGGAAGAGCTGATGTGCCTGGCATACTGGAGTTAACACCCGAGGAGATACAATTTAACCGGGCAGTTCAGATCAGGCTGGCACATTTTGGCCCCAACCCCGCAGCAGATATTGTGGTTCAAGTGCAAGCAGCAGTAGCAGCACAACAGGCGCTTCAAGGAAGAGGCGCTGCAGCAGCTGAGGTACCATATAATAATAATGGAAGGAGAAAAGTACCCTTTGCTGCCTTTCGGAATTTTGTAGAAGCCGAAGGAGAGATTGATGGGTTCCTGGCTGATTTTGAAAGGCAATGTGCTTTACACCAGGTACCCGCAGAGGAATGGGTCACCATCCTCTCTGGGAAGTTATCCGGCCGGGCCAGTGAGGCGTTTCGGGCCATCCCAGAGGAGGAAATTACCAGCTACAGGGCAGTGAAGGATGCCCTTTTGGCCAGATACGCTGTGACCCCTGAGGCGTACCGGCGGCGATTCCGGGACACCAACAAACAGGCTGGCGATTCTTATGTTGAGTGGGCATGCCGAGTACACCGCACCGCAGCCCACTGGATGGCAGGGTGCCAAGCGGTAACTGGGGAAGAAGTACTGCAAGTATTTTTGTTGGAGCACTGCTTTGACCGCTTACCTGCAGGAGTCAGAGAGTGGGTTAGGGACCGTAAACCCGCTACCTTACCCGAAGCTGCTCGTCTGGCTGATGAGTACACTGATGCCAGGAAACTGGACCAGACAGCAGCCAAGGTCCCTACCCGAGTGGAGTACAAACCAGCAGTTCCCCCAACCACTGCAGTATATCAACACCCAGCGCAACGCACCCCCACAATGCCAACCGCGAACAATTATGTTCAGCCAGCCCGGTTCAACGCCCGGGACTACTCCCAGCCTATCCAGTGCTATGGGTGTGAGCAGTTGGGGCACAAGCGACCCGAGTGCCCATTAAATAATTCTAGCCAAGCCCAGTCGTGGAGAAGACCAGCCGGCGGAAATCAGTAGCCACCCCAACCTTCCGCTCACTGTCTTGAGCAGGAGGAATTTTGGGGTATACTACATGAGGCGGATCCAGTACAAGCAGCGCAGCAGGATAACCGTCAACAGCACAGGCAGACCGTTAAACTGAATGGCAAAGCAGTAACTGGTCTGAGAGACACCGGAGCCACTATGACTTTGCTCCAAAAGAACCTTGTTTCAGAACACCAACACACTGGAAATACTGTGGCAGTGAGGGTGGCGGGAGGTGCAGTGTTCCGTTTACCGGTTGCCCGGGTTCACTTGGATTGGGGGGTGGGCTCTGGACACGTGAATGTGGGGGTCATGAAAGACTTACCTGCTGATGTTTTGCTTGGAAATGACTTGGCCCCTTTGGTATCCGCTTATGCTCCAATGGGACCTGCTGACATCCACCCAGTGACTACCCGTGCCCAGACCCGTGCTGCGGTAACCAGCCCACCTGCTGCTGAGACCCAGGTAAGACCCGATTCCCCGACTGGTACCCTAGAACAGACCTCTGTTAGCTGGGATTCACCAGAGGAGTTTGGGAGGGAAACTCAGACAGATTCGACGCTCCAGAAGTATAGGGACAGAGCAGATACTGGAGAGGAGGGAGTAGATGGGGAGCGGTATGAGTGGGTGGGGGACAGGTTGTATAGGATCCCCAAGCTTTCCCCGAAAAGTGTTGCCCCTCCGCCGAATCGACAGCTGGTGGTGCCCGCAAAATACCGGCAGGAGATTCTGTGGATAGGGCATGATGTTCCACTAGCTGGACATCTAGGTTCCCACCGCACAGCCTATAGGATCATGCAGAACTTCTTTTGGCCAAACTTTAACCAGGCTGTGCGGATGTATTGCAGTACGTGTGACACATGTCAACGGGTAGGAAAGCGGGGGGACCACCCCAGAGCTAGGCTTATGTCTATGCCTATTATTGGGGAGCCCTTTGCCCGTATAGCCGTTGACATTGTGGGTCCACTGGCCAGGGCTAGTCCATCCGGTAAGAAATATATTCTCACCGTGGTGGATTATGCCACCCGCTATCCAGAGGCAGTAGCGCTGTCTAATATAGAGGCAGAGACAGTTGCTGATGCCCTGGTTAGGATTTTTACCAGAGTCGGGTTCCCTAAAGAGATTCTCTCTGACCAGGGAACCCAATTTACTGCTGTGCTCACCCAGCAACTGTGGAAGGTGTGCGGCATTAAACCGCTGCTTAGCTCACCTTACCATCCACAGACTAACGGTCTCTGCGAGCGATTTAATGGTACCCTCAAACAGATGCTGAGGACCTTTTCTGACACTTGCAGAGATTGGGAGCGATTCCTGCCTCACCTGTTGTTTTCCTACAGGGAGGTGCCCCAGGAATCTACTGGGTTCTCCCCCTTTGAGTTGCTATATGGGAGAAGGGTCCGCGGACCCCTAGATCTCATTAGAGGCCACTGGGAGGGAGAGGCAGAGCAGGAAGGGACCCCCATAGTACCGTATGTTCTGGAACTCCGGGACCGCATGGAGAAACTGTCTCTAATGGTAAGAGAGAATCTCCAGGTGGCTCAGGGGAGACAGAAGAGATGGTACGATCGGGGTGCCCGACAGCGAGTCTTCCAGGTTGGGCAGAAAGTGTTAGTACTCAAATCTGTGAAGGCAAACAAGATGCAGGCATCTTGGCAGGGCCCGTATAAGGTGTTAGCGCAGATATGTGATACTACCTACCTTATAGCCAGCTGTTCGGATGAAAGGATCCAGCGATCCTTCCATGTGAACATGCTAAAGGAGTATCAGGAGAGACCAGAGAATGTCGCTGCAGTATGTGCCCCTGCTGCAGATGATACAGAAAGTTTACCCTTACCAGATTTGTTAGAGAGGGACCCCCAGATAGATCTTACTAGCCTGGTACAGCTAGGGGACAGATTGAGCTCCACCGAGAAGGGCCAGGCAAGACAGCTTCTGTGGGAAAAGCAGGCGACCTTCTCCCAAGAACCTGGTTACACTACCCTAGCTGTACACAAGGTAGAAACCCCTGGACAGAACCCTCTGCGACAACCCCCTTACCGTATCCCTGAAGCAGTCCGGGAAGGAATGCGGAAGGAGATACAGGAGATGACCCAGCTGGGGGTCATCGAACACTCCGATAGCCCTTGGGCTTCACCTGTAGTCCTGGTGCCCAAGAAGGATGGGACCACCCGGTTCTGTGTGGACTACAGGCGCCTCAATGAGCGGACCACCACTGACGCCTACCCGATGCCCCGGGTAGACGAATTGTTAGATCGCATTGCCAGGGGACGCTATCTGACCACCATAGACCTGTGCAAAGGCTACTGGCAGATTCCCCTGGCCGAGGATGCTATCCCCAAGTCGGCCTTTGTCACCCCATTTGGCCTGTACCAATTTAAGGTCATGCCATTTGGGATGAAGAACGCACCGGCTACCTTCCAGCGTATGGTGGATAGACTTCTTGATGGATTCCAGGAATTTGCTTGTGCATACCTGGATGACATTGCGATCTACAGTGAGTCCTGGGAGGAACACCTGGTACATGTAGGGGTAGTACTGGACAAAATTTGGGCCGCTGGCCTGACATTGAAGCCAGAGAAGTTCCATTTAGGCATGGCTGAAGTGCAGTACCTGGGTCACAGAGTAGGGTGTGGGTGCCAGAGACCAGAGCCAGCCAAGATAGAGGCAGTAGCTAACTGGCCCACACCTATCACTAAGACCCAGGTGTTAGCATTCCTAGGGACAGCCGGATACTATAGACGCTTTGTCCCCGACTACAGCGCTATTGCTAAACCCCTGACTGACCTGACAAAGAAAAATCTCCCTAAACAGGTCCTGTGGTCTCCAGCTTGTGAAGCTGCGTTTCAAGCACTCAAACAAGCTCTTGTGAATGCCCCTGTCCTGGCTGCCCCAGTCCCTAACAAACGTTTTCTCGTCCATACAGATGCTTCCATGTATGGACTGGGGGCTGTGCTGAGCCAGTTCGGGGAAGATGGAGGAGAGCACCCTGTCGCATATCTCAGCAGAAAGCTGTTACCCAGAGAAGTGAGTTATGCGGCAGTGGAGAAGGAGTGTTTGGCCCTGGTGTGGGCATTGAAAAAGTTAAAACACAGTGAGTCCAGTATAGACTGGATAAGAATCCAGACCGTACTAGTCAAGTGAGTGGAGCGCTAAATATTCACACTTACCCTTAATTAGGGTTAAATCTCAGATGTATGTATGTACATGCAAATAAAACTAAAAAATACAACACAATATAGTGTAAATCTGTGAGTAGAAGAAATCTTGTGATAATATATCAATAATCGAACTCACATGGATTAGAGCCTCATAGAAGGACAGGCTCAAATCTCTTCAGCATTAGTATCGTATGGAGACACTACACCCTTTAACTGGAGTAAATTTCCTCTTCTCTCTTTTCTCTTTTTTCTTTGAGGAAATTTACTCCAGTTAAAGGGTGTAGTGTCTCCATACGATACTAATGCTGAAGAGATTTGAGCCTGTCCTTCTATGAGGCTCTAATCCATGTGAGTTCGATTATTGATATATTATCACAAGATTTCTTCTACTCACGGATTTACACTATATTGTGTTGTATTTTTTTTGTTTTATTTGCATGTACATACATACATCTGAGATTTAACCCTAATTAAGGGTAAGTGTGAATATTTAGCGCTCCACTCACTTGACTAGTACGGTCTGGATTCTTATCCAGTCTATACTGGACTCACTGTGTTTTATTTCTATATCTTAGTGGGGGATAGAGAGCACCCACTAGAGTGTGTAGCTGCTTTTGTACCACGTTATTATTCTTATAAGCGCACTAAACACAGTAATCATTATTGTTTGCATTGAAAAAGTTAAGCCCGTATTTATATGGACAGGAATTTTCCCTTGTGACGGACCACAATCCCCTTGTCTGGCTTAACCGGGTCTCCGGAGACAATGGCAGACTGCTGAGGTGGAGTTTAGCGCTACAACCCTATAATTTCACCATCAGTTATCGACCCGGTAAGCAGAACGGGAATGCAGATGGATTGTCCAGGCAAACCGACATCCTCACCCCATCTTAGTCCAGTCATCCCCACGTTGACCCGCCAAAGGGTCAAGCCGGGTCTGCCGGAGTGTCCCACAAGGGGGGAGCCGTGTGACAGATTCATCTTTATTGCTGGTTCGTCTGTTTCCCTTTGTTCGCTGGATTCCCTGTTCGTATACCCCCGTTCGTGTAATTTGCAAACTACCGATTGAAACTACCGAACGAACGACCACCCAGGAGAGGAGTGTGCTGCTGGTTAACCTCTTGGCCCCAATTAGAACGTTGTGGTTAACCGCAGACACCTCTCCATTCCATTCGTACGGGTGGTCGTCGTTCGCATGTCGACCACGAGGCAGCGGCCATTTTGGGACACACGAACGCATAGCGGTGTTCGGTACAAATTGTATGGAACTAAAAACGGACACTTAAACTACCGAACACCGCTGGAAGCTGATGCCCACCTTCCATTTCGACAAGGCATGCGAACGTCGGTCGTTCGGGAGTTTTTATTCATCCGTATGGACTTTTACCCAGACAGCAGTCCCATGGAGTCATTCGTATACCGAAGGACTGGTGAAAGACTTTGACTCCATGGCGATTCGACTAGATACATCGGATCTGAGCGCTATTCGGTGAAAATATGCACTCAGATCCAGGCTGTCTGGGGATACGTTACACGAACTATATTCATTCGGTATTTCTTCAGTTATGTATTTTAATGTATTTTTACTACTGTAATTTAAAATGGCGATTGTCTCTACCCTGGGAGATAATTAGGTTTCTTCCTAATTATCTCCGGGGTAGAGAAGACGGATTTATGGGTAAGATGGGAAGGGCTTATATTGAAGCCACTGCGATTGGCTACTGTCTAAAATATTTTACAGTCTTCCACAAGGTCCCCTCGGGGAGTGTCCACCTTGTGGAGACCTGCATAAATACCGGGCAGGTAGCCCCCATTAAACAGATCCTGATTTGACCCTCAAGACGGAGCTTGGTCTCGTTTGTGGGGGAATTATTACTGGGACAGCGCTTCGTTATTTTTAGCTGTGGAAGGCGTTCAACTGTTTTGCTGTTCGGGAGTTGCCGTGTTCGTGGACTTCGTTCGGGAGTTTGACGGTCGGCTGGATATAAACTGCATTTCTGGAGAAGGGGATTATTTACTAAACGGCGGCTTCATCTACCTGGCGGTGAGTGTCTTAACATTCAAAATGTGACTTCCATAGAATTCCTGAACCCCTGAACTGATCTGGGTGATTTTTGGATATGTTGGTCACCCAGATCAGGACTATCAGGGGATTTAACATTTATGGGGATTTTATGTGTTTTGGGGGTACTTTTGGGGTTTTATAGAAATAAGTGTTTTTATTCTGCCTGGAGATATTAGAGCTAATACAGTATCTGACTCAATTATCTCCCAGGCAGAGAGGATGGATTGTGTGCTGTGTGGGAGTGTTGTGCCTTGTAACCTTATTGTTATTGGTCTGTGACGTTGTAAATCAGTCTACCATCAGGTCCATGTGGGCATACCCCTTGCATGGGGATTGTCATATAAGGCCAAGTGTGGCACCATTAAAAACTAGTTCCTCTTCACCCTCAACATAGAGCCTCGTCTCATGTGTGGAGGGGACAGCTATATTCACTCTGACAATTGCTATACTCATTATACTCCCCTGGGTTCTAATCACTAGCTCTTATAAGAGCTGTTCCTGCTATACTCTCTGGAGTAGGAGAGGTTCACTCACTGGAAGCTGAATCCTGGTCTTGGGTGGGGGATGGTAAAACCCCAATCAAGCTGCGGTGGTTTGTGGGGTCTACAGTGCTGATGGTGTCTGGTGGAGTGCTTGGAGTCCTCCGTGACACGAGGAGAATCAATTGGTGTAGGCACCCAGTAAGGGTGCCAGACAGTCTGTCACATTTGGTGGCAATGGTTGTTCGGGAGTTTCGAAGTGCCGCTTTGAACCGCTTCGGGAGTTTGAAGTGTAGCCATACATAGTAAAATAAAGGCACAAACAGTGGTTTCAACCATGATTTAACACAGGGGCCATAATCACAGAGTAGGAGACTGGCAAACATGCCCCTCCAAAAACCAGTGGTGAGGTTACTTTTGCCACAATTATTTTTTCATATATTTAAAATAAAATCCACAAACTTGTGTCCACCCTGGAACATGAGAGGTGAGGTTCCAGTCTCGGACCTCTCAGAGACCATGCTCAAGGGGGTGAAAGTAGGAAGCGTACCTCTGCACCAAACTAAAACCTTACTTGGAAATCCACATCTATTCACTATCTTGTTATTCTGAAGGGTTTTAGTAATGGTGCAAGTGTAATAAAATATGTTTTTCCAACAGAAGTAACGCAATGAGTAAACCTGCCCTGTGCAATGTGGCCAACCAACAAATCAATAATCATAGTAACCTATAACTCTTCATTCCCTCACTCAGCTCCCTCCTCAAAGTCACATCTATCACATCCATTCATTCTATCACTCAGCTGTCTCCTCATAGTCACCTCTCTATCACTCTTCATTCCATCACTCAGCTATCTCCCCTTAGTCAACTCTCTATAGATCTTCATTCCATCACTCACATATCTCCCCTAAGTCACCTCTTTATCGCTCTTCATTCCATCACTCAGCTATCTCCTCATAGTCACCTCTCTATCACTCTTCAGTCCATCACTCAGCTATCTCCTCATAGTCACCTCTCTATCACTCTCTATTCCATAACTCAGCTATCTCCCCTCAGTCAGCTCTCTATCACTCTTCAAACTTTGCTGAGGTCACACTTTTAATCAGTGTAGCGGGCTGAGGGTAACCCGACTGGTTTCCTCAACTAATGCTGTAGCGGAGTAGTAGTATTATCCACTGTATCTCTGCTGGTAGACAGAATCAAGCAGGTACATAGCAGGCAAAATCCAGGTAGCGTAGTTACAATCCCTTCCTCCCAAGAACTAGACGACACATGGCTTGGAGGTCAACTGAGGTTTTAATTACAGGCACAGTATTTATGGGATTCCCCATGCAAGGGGTGGCACAGTAGGGAACTGAACAATGCATACATTTTTCCCACCATGCACTGCTGCATGAGAGGGATACTCCCACGAGAATATACCGTAAAGTGGATTATCCCTCCGTGCAGCAGAACTTACATTTCACATTAAAATACATAATTCCCATAATATTCCCTTTATTTAAACAAATGGACATTCGGTAGATAGCTGGGGTCTGAGCGCACAGTTCGTGAGAATACCGCTCAGATCCCAGCCTAACTAACCAAACACCGCACGAAACACACATTAAATTCAAGTTCTACTCAAAGTACCGATTGACATCAGGGGAACAACCTACCGATTGGCCGTGGCTCCCGAACGGCCTTGAAGTCCAGCGGGGTTCGCGCCGTCGAGTAGCCGATTTTGGTTCCAGGCGCTCGATGACCAAACCCCGCTGGGCTAACAAAGGAACCAAGATGGCCGGCCGCCGCATGGTCGGTAGCCGAACGACGGCCACCTAGGAACACACTTAACTACCGATTGCAACAATGTGGGCGCCACACAACCTCCATTCAGTAGGTTATTCGTTTCACGAACAGTGTTGAAACTCACTGTTCGTGAATCTACAGTATGAATGCTGGGGTTTTCATGCCGCCAGCATACGAATGCCCTCATTCGCCTGAAATGCAATTACAATCCTACACTTGTCTCTACAGCTTTAGAAAGAATACAAACATAGTTTGATAGTCTCCGGTGGCTAGTTTTGCCACAAATGCAGAATGAAGAGACCTATTTTCCCACAGTAACTGGATGAAAGCGTCCTGCCTCTGTGACTCCCAACCACAGAAAGCCCACCAAACCACTATTGTACCCAAGGGATGTCCCCACCAACCTCAGGGACACCCAGAACGGTACTCGGCATGAACAGCCTTCGTAAGCAGGGTCCCTGGGCTAAACCAGGCAAGGGAAGCGTTTCCTTTTGGGACACGAATGCTCCCCCTGGCTGCCGCTCATCTATACAAATGGCGGCCACCCAGGGAAGCACTCATTAATTGCTTCCCTTGCGATTTCACACTTATGTTGCAAGTTGCCAACGTTCTAATTGATTGGTGCAAACATTCCAAGGGGCATTGGGGAGGGCCTTGTTCGGGAACCGAACAAGACAGGAAGCAATCTGTGAATGCTCCCCCCGGATGGCGTTCATCTAACAAACTGGTCGCCACCCAGGGTCTGCACGCGCCGAGGCTTCCCCTTGTGGTTTTTGTTTTTCAAACCTTGTTAGCTATGTGTGAACATTCTAACTAAACATTCTAAATGGGATTTTGGTAAAACATACACAAATTCACAGATACATGGGGGAAACACAGGCAATCACATAAAGATAATTCATGGACGGGCATGGGCCCACCACAATCAGGATTTTTGATTTCAGTTAGTAAATAAAAGCTATAACCCTTTTTGTTCTTTCTGCTCTCTTGCATGGTGAATACCCTTTGAGCATTTGGATTAAGCTGACATAAATGGGGATATTGCAGAAATATCTGTAAGATATGATCTGCATGCTGTTCTGCGGTGGCTACAACGGTGTTGTGTTGGCCACTGAGGACTGGTTGATACATAGATTTAAGAACTATTCAATACACAGTGAGTTGTCACAGAGTTTTAAACACATCTGTGTCTTTTACAATTGGCAGTTTTAATAAATTTATATAGACACAGATTTGTATGATATTACATAGTATTGATATACTAATGCGTATTACATAGTAAATGATTTGTAATTGGTGTGTGATGCCGATAAACTCCATGTAAAGATGATTGGCTTTAATCGAGCTCATAGTTAGTGGAAAGCTGAACATAACAGGCCATGTTAATTAATCACTTGGCTAAACGTTTCTTTTCACCAACCAGGCCAAGGAGCGAGGACTTCTCTCCTACTTGGTGACTGCTGATTAGATAAATCTAGAACCGCCCACTCCATACCCGAGAGGGTTCAGCTCTATCTCACATTGCTTTTCTTTCTACTTCCAGAGGTAATTTCCACGGCCTGCAACCGTACAAGGTCGGGGCTCCTTGCTCTAACTGCCCCAGAGAGAGTACCTGCAACGGCTCGCTGTGCGGTATGTATAATGCTTTACTGAACCTCCAAAGGATCAAAGTACATCTACCTTTACAGTAAGCTTACTGGTAACCAAGTGATATCATAGCTTACTTACGTATTGTATTATTACATCTTTTTGTATTACTGCATCTGATAATTTCATTACAGCTTATTGTACTATTATCATGTCATATTAAAACCGCTCATTGTATTATCACAGCTTATTGTATTATCATAGTTTATCGTATTATTACAGCTCATTGTATTATAACAGCTCATTGTATTATCATAGCTCAGTGTATTAGTACAGCTTATTGTATTATCACAGTTTATCGTATTATTACAGCTCATTGTATTATAACAGCCCAGTGTATTATCACAGCTTATTGTATTATTACTGCTCATTGTATTATCATATCTTATTGTATTTGTAACGGAACCCCGGGCATAAAAGGGTTAAAACGCCGTTTAGAAGATCTTCCCCTTCCAGAGACACAGGCACAGCTACCGCAGAACACCAAACTCCCAAACTTGGTTCAAGGGAATGTTCCAAACTCCCGAACTGGAACCTCACGAATAGCTGCTAGCAGCTGAACAGGAAAAGCACCGAAGTGGCTTACACTCCTGGCAATCAGTCTCTAACAGCATACAGTAAATCCCCCCAAAGACGAGACAAGGCTCCGTTTTGAGGGTCAAGCAGGAACAGACAGAGCTGTGGGTTTATTGTCCTTATATACACATTAGTACCACCCACAGGGTTTTGGAAAACAACCAATAAACACATACAATACACTCAGACACTCCCACACAAAATCCTCCCCTCTGCCTGTGATAAAATTACCTCACACAATGGGTAATGTAATTATCACAGGCAGAGAAATACAGTTTTTCCACATTATTCATAACTTTAAAAGTATGCATCACATTCACATAAATATTTTCAGAATCAGCATACTCTGAAAACATATGTCAAAATCATACAAATTGGTCCAGTGGGTCAAAAGTTAGATCGAATGCCTTTGTGACCAAATGAAGCATGGCTTTTCTGCCCAAAACCAGTTCCACAGAGTCTTCTATCCTGAAAATAATTGGGAACTAATCCAATTATCTCCAAGGACAGAGGCAAAACACCAAAACTCAATTGAACACATGGTAGCAAAAGACAATAAAATACATAAAAATATATAACTGTGCAGCTATTGCATAAAATAGGTACATTCAACATATCCCCAGATAGCTTAGATCTGAGCGCACATTATTACTGAATGGCACTAAGATCACATACATACAGTTCAATTTCCACGGAGCCAAAGTCTTTTGCATAGTCTTTCATTATACGAATGGGCTCCATGGTAAAGCTATCTGGGTATCACTGTTCAAATAGGGCAAGTACCGAATGACCTGGCTGTCGTGCCTTTGCAGGGGAAAATCAAGCATTTCAACATGGGGCCATAGTCTAAAGGCAGCAGGTGGGCAACCAGGCTCCTCCAATGCACAGTGTGAATGTGAATGTGAATGTGATTCATACTTTTAAAATTTGATGATTTTGACATATGTTCGTATTTGGAGTATGCTGATTCTGAAAATGTAATGTTTTATGTGAATGTGATGCATACTTTTAAAGTTATGAATAATGTGGAAAAACTGTATTTCTCTGCCTGTGATAATTCCATTACCCATTGTGTAAGGTAATTGTATCACAAGCAGAGGGGAGGATTTTGTGTGGGAGTGTCTGAGTGTATTGTACGTGTTTATTGGTTGATTTCCAAAATCCTGTGGGTGGTTGTGACAGAACCATCTGTCTGTCTATTGTGGTGGATTCGTCTATTTCTGCCCCCTTTCGTGTAAATGGCTGTTTCTATAGCCCAGCCATACGAATGACTGTTTTCACCAAACAAATCTACCGAACGGATGGCCACCCAGGATAGAAGTGTGCTGCTGGTTAACCTCTTGATCCCAACCGCAGACACTTCTCAATTAAACTGAATTCAGGGTGGCCGTCGTTCGTATGTCGACCACGAGGCAGCGGCCATTTTAAAACACACAAAAGACCAAGAGTTTCATGGAACTAAAAACGGACACTTTTTCTGCCAAACACCGCTGAAACAACGGGTCGCCTGGCTGCCTCGACGAAAGCGTACGAACACCAGCCGTTCGGGAGTTTTACAACACACGAAAGGACTTAACCCAGATAGCCTTCCCATGGAGGCAATCGCATACCGAAAGACTGTAAGGACTTTGACTCCATGGCGATTGAACTACGCGTATGGGATCTGAGCGCTATTCGCCAATAATATGCCCTCAGATCCAGGCTATCTGGGGATATGTGATGCGAATGTGAAATGTTCGGTTATTATAAAGTTATGTATTTTTATGTATTTTCTGGCATTTTATTTAAGATGGCGGTTTGTCTTTGTCCTGGAGATAATTGAATTACTTCTCAATTATCTCCAGGGCAGAGGGGAGGAAACCATATTGCATTGTGGGAAAAGTTTACATCTGTATGTCTGAAATGTCCCCATGTCTATCTGTCATTACAGTCTCCCATTTGGTCCCCTAGGGGAGTGTCCATAGACTGCAGTATACGAACCACCATCAGGGGAAGCGGTAAACTCCCGACCGGGATCCGGTGTCCACCAAGTGGGAGACCTGCATAAATACGGGCAGGTAGCCCACAGTAAAGCCAGATCCTGTTTGACCCTCAATGCGGAGCTTCTGTCTCGTTATTGGGGGGATTTATTATTTGCGCCTAGAGACTGATTATTGGAACCGAAAGCTGCTTGGTGGCTAGCAGCAGTTTGTGGATTTCCGTTCCAGAGTTTGGAGCCTTTCACGGATCCCGGTCGGGAGATTACCGCTTCCCCTGATGGTGGTTCGTATACTGCAGTCTATGCGAACGGAGTCATTGATATTGCGAAAGGGGAAGGTTAACTAAACGGCGGTTTCTCTTAAAGACACCAGGGGTGTCTTAACAGTGGTACTAATGTGTAAGAATGTGTGTATAAGAACAATAAACCCACAGCTCTGTCTGTTCCTGCTTGACCCCCAAAACGGAGCCTTGTCTCGTTCTTGGGGGGATTTATTGTATGCTGTTCCAGTTTGACTGCTAGGAGTGTAAACCTATTCGTATGGTTTTTCCTATTTGGCTGTTTACAGCATTTGTATGGTTCCGGTTCAGCTGTTTACGGCATTCATATGGTTTCCTGTTCGGCAGATTGGTGTTTTTGGTAGCTGCCTGTGTATCTGGAAGGGGAATATCCTCTAAACGGCGTTTAACCCCTTTTATGCCTGGGTTGCCGTTACAGTATTATCACAGCTCAGTGTATTATTACAGCGTATTGTATGATCACAACTCATTGTATTATTACAGCGTATTGTATTATCACAGCTCAGCGTATTATTAAAGCGTATTGTATTATCACAACTCATTGGATTATTACAGCGTATTGTATTATCACAGCTCAGCGTATTATTACAGCATTTTTTATTATAACAGCTTGTTGTATTATTACAGCTCATTGTATTATAACAGCTCATTGTATTACTTTAGCTCTTTGTATTATCATAGTTCATTGTATTATTAACAGTTCAATGTATTATCACACCTCAGTGTATCATTACAGCTTTTTGTATTATAACAGCTTGTTGTATTATTACAGCTCAGTGTATTTTTATAGCTCAGTGTATAACAGCTCATTGTATTACTTTAGCTCTTTGTATTATCATAGTTCATTGTATTATTACAGCTCATTGTATTATTAAAGCTCAGTGTATTGTTACAGCTCATTGTATTATTACAGCTCATTGTGTTATTACAGCTCAGTGTATTATTACATCTCATTGTATTATTACAGCTCAGTGTATTGTTACAGCTCAGTGTATTGTTACAGCTTATTATATTATTACAGCTCATTGTGTTATTACAGCTCAGTGTATTATTACATCTCATTGTATTATTACATCTCATTGTATTATTACAGCTCAGTGTATTATTACAGCTCATTGTATTACTTTAGCTCTTTGTATTATCATAGTTCATTGTATTATTACAGCTCAGTGTATTATTACAGCCTATTGTATTTACAGCTTATTTTATTATAACAGCTTCTATTATTATCACAGCTCAGTGTATTATTATAGCTCAGTGTATTACAGCTCATTGTATTACTTTAGCTCTTTGTATTATCATAGTTCATTGTATTATTACAGCTCATTGTGTTATTACAGCTCATTGTATTATTAAATCTCATTGTATTATTACAGCTCAGTGTATTATTACATCTCATTGTATTATTACAGCTCAGTGTAATATTACAGCTTATTGTATTATTACAGCTCATTGTATTACTTTAGATCTTTGTATTATCATAGTTCATTGTATTATTACAGCTCATTGTATTATTACAGCTCAGTGTATTATTACATCTCATTGTATTATTACAGCTCAGTGTAATATTACAGCTTATTGTATTATTACAGCTCATTGTATTACTTTAGATCTTTGTATTATCATAGTTCATTGTATTATTACAGCTCATTGTATTATTACAGCTCAGTGTATTATTACAGCTTATTGTATTATAACAGTTTATTGTATTATTACAGCTCAGTGTATTATTACATCTCATTGTATTATTACAGCTCAGTGTAATATTACAGCTTATTGTATTATTACAGCTCATTGTATTATTACAGCTCAGTGTATTATTACAGCTTATTGTATTATAACAGCTTATTGTATTATTACAGCTCAGTGTATTATTACATCTCATTGTATTATTACAGCTCAGTGTAATATTACAGCTTATTGTATTATTACAGCTCATTGTATTACTTTAGATCTTTGTATTATCATAGTTCATTGTATTATTACAGCTCATTGTATTTTACAGCTCAGTGTATTATTACAGCTCATTGTATTATTACAGCTCACTGTAGCATTACAGTGGGATGGTAGTCCCTATCCCTGGGAGCATAAGAAGGACACTTTATGTAGGTCTCACCCTGTGCCCATTATAGGTGCAGGGTGTGTATTATTGATATTTGTTCAATGTTTGTGTGCCTTCCTGTCTTGCTAATGCTCTCTAGGAACTAGGTGGATTTGTCTGTGGACCCTGTGAAGTGCCACCTGGTTGTATGATCTTGCAAAAGTCATGTATTGGTTGTAAATGAATCGCAATACATGGTAATTTGCATTTTCAGGTAGACTTGCATATTAGGGTTTATGCAGGCAAGGGACATATTTCTTGTTTGTCACAGTCCTCCCCAACCCATTATAAATATATTATTGAGTTTCTGTGTGTTTCCCCGATATCATTTTGTTATATGTATTGTATTGAGTGTATTGCCATAAGTGTAATGTAATGCAGGTAGGGGCTAGTCCTGAGTGTAAATGTCCATTTGGGAACTGTGTGGTTTGTTCATGGATTCCAGTAACAGAGGTTTTGGACCTGTTGGCTGGTTGCACTGGTTTGTGATTCTGGGGATGAGTTTAGAAATAGCCAGACCTGAGTGCCATAATTGCATTTTGTAATGGCAATAGTTGGAAACATTGTAGGCAGAGGTGTCGATACCTGTCTGGGAGAGGAAAAGAAGAGGCAATGTGGGACAATACCTACCTACCGATACCGATGGGTCTCTATGCACCGGCGGATCCAGAGTCTTATCTCAGGAGGGGCATTCATAGATTATTTAAAGAAACAATCTCTCTATAGTGGTTTTGGTGCCAGGAGTGCAGTGGTGCCCTCCCAGAGTAAATAGTTAAACTGTTTACCTAGGGTCTGCCAGGATAGGGGCTGTAGTAGGGGATAGGGCCTCTAGTAATGTGTGTGTGTGTGTGTGTGTGATGCAGGGTGGGTATGGAAGGTAGTGTGTGAGGGGTGCAGAGTGTGTGTGTGTCTGTGTGTTTGTGTACGGGAGGCAGTGCATGTGGGACAGTGTGTGGATGGGGGTGCAGTGTGATGGGTGTAGTGTGTGCATGGGAGTGCAGTGTGTATATGTGGGGTGCTGTAGGAGCACTGTGTGTGTATGGGCCCAGTGTGTGTATGAGGGTGTTGTGGGGGCAGTGTGTGTATGGGAGTGCAGTGTTTGTGTGGGTGTGTTGGAGAAGTGTGTGGGGGTGCAGTGTTTGTATGGGGAGCACTGTGTGTATGGGGGAGAAGTGTGTGTGTGTGGGGTGCAGTGTGTGTGTGGGGTGCAGATTTATTTAACCAATCATTGTCCCAGACGATTGGAAGTTAGCAAATGTTGTGACCATTCACAAGAAAGGTAGTAGGGAGGAGTCGGGCAACTATAGGCCAGTAAGCCTTACTTCAGTAGTGGGGAAAGTAATGGAAACCATGTTAAAGGATAGGATTGTTGAACATCTAAAATCACATGGATTTCAAGATCAGAGACATCGGCTTACTTCAGGGAGATCATGCCTGTGGCGAAACGACCTCGCCACTGGGCATTGGAGAAGACTGATTGCCAGCCTCCTGCCATGTGACTATGGCCCCTGGGATGTATTGCCCGTTAAAGACATGATTTGGACATAATGGATTTGTGTTGTGCTGCTGCTGGCCCTTTAAGAACCATACTGTGGAATTACTGGGTGGCCACCATTTCCTGTATCAGAGGCACATGGTGAGAACAATGGATGAAGCACATGGTGAAAACAATGGATTGCGGCCATTTTAACTCACAGACACTGTTTGGACTTTTCAACACGGTGCCATCACGCCAGTATTTGGTGCACAGAGACATTGTGCAGTGGTTTTGGACTATACAGCAGGGGACACATTATACAGTGATTGTTTTTCATTTAGCCTGTATATGTTCTGCAGAATCTGCATTAAACTGTATCTTCCAAAGTACTGAACGGATCTGGGTGAATTTTGGATATGTGGTTCACCCAGATCCCCCGGTTTTTTTTATGGGGTTATTGCATGTTTTGGGGTCCCTGTGATGTGTTTTATGAAACTGTATTCCTCTGTCTGTGATAATTAGATTACCCATTGTGTAAGGTAATTGTATCGCAGGCAGAGGGGAGGATTTTGTGTGGGAGTGTCTGTGTGTATTATACGTGTTATTGGTTGTTCTGTAAAACCCTGTGGGCAGTACTAAATTTGTGGATTGGGAATAAAAGAGGCTGTATGTGCTAGTCCAGTCAGTTCTGCTTAACCCTCAAAGTGAAGTGTCGTCTCATTATTGGGGGAGGATTTATTGTATGCTGTTCCAGTTTGACTGCTAGGAGTGTAAACCTATTCGCATGGTTTTTCCTATTCGGCTGTATACAACATTCATATGCTTGAGAGCATTCATATGCTCCTACAGTTTGGTGGTTTTAGTGTCTGCTGCAGTGCTTGGAGTCCTCAGGAAGCGCTAGGAGCATCCTTCAATGGAGGTACCCAGTCGGGGTGCCAGGTGATCCGTTACATTGGTGGCAAGCGGTGGGATGGCTTCCTAGCCTTGGGAAAACCAGCACTACTTCAGAGATGGAAGGCCGTGCAGTATCTCACTTTGACGCCAGGCTCCAGCAGCGACTACAGGATGTGATGTGCAGTATGGAGTATCCTATCCCAGAGGAAAGAGAGACAGAGTGGAGGGTGGCGCTTTGTACCGATCTCTGGAAGGAGGACATCGACGAAGTTCGACCCTTCCGGTGCGAGGAAATCCTGACCACTAACCAGCGCCAAGCAGAACAACTAGAGCTGTGGATGCCGTTATTGGGAAACGAGCCCTCAGAGGAATGGGTAAGAAAACTGGAGACGCTAGTTGAGACTGAGGTGTGGCTGGATGATTCCTATCGGGCCCTGCGGTGGCATGTTTACCACCTCTACCCATGGCTGATCGAGTACAAGTGTATTGAGGGGGAAGACTACGATGGCCCTGGTTTGTTGTAGGATACTCTCTGGTTAGGAGACACCGACATTGCTCGCTTCTGGTCCATCCGAGCTGAGCGGGCAGACAACTAGGACCTTACGGAGATCGATACCATTCAGCCAGATCTATCTTTTCTTGCCAACCGAGAGTGGGAACTAGAACAGGATTATGTTTGCCTATTCCAACGTATAACGCCGCCTGTCTCTGACATGATGGGGCTTATTGACTGTATACCACCGGAAGCATTGAGTTTAGTTCCTCCTCCCCAGCAACCAAGCCTGTTATCAGGAGACCTTGGTACTGTACCACATATGTCCCAACCAGCCCCAGAGATGGAATACCTTATTGACTTGTCCTGGGAAGACACCCAGCTGGCAGGTGGAGATGGGACCGAGGTCTCTCTACAGGCCCTACAGGGATGCTGGGCAGTCGGCCCAGATCCCCAGTGGCAGTATGTATCCCAGGGAGCTGAAGGTGCCGTCCTTCCTCCCCAGCGGCAGTGTGTCCTGCAGGAAGCGGAGACAGTCGGTCTCGCTCCCCAGCAGCAGGACAATATATTAAAAGGGGAGAAAGTTGGTCCCCCTCTCCAACAGCAGAGAGTGTTCCAGGGAGAGGAACCGGTTATCACCTCTCCCCAGCAACCGGACAAATTATTGAAAGGGGAGACAGCCGGTCTCCCCCTCCAACAGCAGAGAGAGTATCAGGGAGAGGAGCTTGTTATGCCCTCTCCCCAGCGGCTGAAAGTATGTATGGGAGAGGAGCTTGTTACCCCCTCTCCCCAGAGGCAGCTTAGCCCACCAAGGGGAGACAGTAATCTCCACAACAGTGCAGATGGGACCGTGGTCTCTGCACATACACCACCGGGGGTAGGGACAGTCAGTCCTGTCCCCCAGCAGCAGGGCTGTTTAGCCAAAGGGGAGACAGTCGGTCTCTCCCTCCAGCAGCAGGGCTGTGTGTCCAAAGGGGAGACACTCAGTCTCCCCCTCCAGCAGCAGCCCCAGATCTCAAGAGAGGAGCCTACCAACTCTTCTTTTCAGCATGGCTCCAATCAGGCTACTCCCGTGGTAGCGCTGGCACCAGGGCAGAGTACTGCAGGCCTCTGCCCACCTAGCAACCCATTGATCCAGAGTGCTAGTACTCCCCAGAGCCAAGGTGGAGCTCCTGGACCTGGACAAGCGACCCACTACTCCAGGTGTATTAACCAATTTTCGTGGGTGGGTTATACTGCGGATTCTGTTTTGTGGGTGGGTTGCTGGACTAACCAAGGCACTGACCGACAGGAGGTCGGATACCTTGTTAGTCTTTTTTGGGAAAGGGGAGAAATGTGGCGAAACCGACCTCGCCACTGGGCATTGGAGAAGACTGATTGCCAGCCTCCTGCCATGTGACTATGGCCCCTGGGATGTATTGCCCTTTAAAGACATGATTTGGACATAATGGATTTGTGTTGTGCTGCTGCTGGCCCTTTAAGAACCATCTAGGGACATACTGGAGAGTTACTGGGTGGCCACCATTTCTTGTATCAGAGGCACATGGTGAGAACAATGGATGAAGCACATGGTGAGAACAATGGATGACGGCCATTTTAACTCACAGACACTGTTTGGACTTTTCAACACGGTGCCATCTCGACAGTATTTGGTGCACAGAGATATCGTGCAGTGGTTTTGGACTATACAGCAGGGGACACATTATACAGTTATTGTTTTTCATTTAGCCTGTATATGTTCTGCAGAATCTGCATTAAACTGTATTTTCCAAAGTACTGAACGGATCTGGGTGAATTTTGGATATGTGGTTCACCCAGAACCCCCGGTTCCAAGGATATACTTTTTATGGGGTTATTGCATGTTTTGGGGTCCCTGTGATGTGTTATATGAAACTGTATTCCTCTGTCTGTGATAATTAGATTACCCATTGTGTAAGGTAATTGTATCACAGGCAGAGGGGAGGATTTTGTGTGGGAGTGTCTGAGTGTATTGTACGTGTAATTGGTTGTTCTGTAAAACCCTCTGGGCAGTACTAAATTTGTGGATTGAGAATAAAAGAGGCTGTATGTGCCAGTCCAGTCAGTTCTGCTTAACCCTCAAAGTGAAGTGTCGTCTCATTATTGGGGGAGGATTTATTGTATGCTGTTTTAGTTTGACTGCTAGGAGTGTAAACCTATTCGCATGGTTTTTCCTATTCGGCTGTATACAACATTCATATGCTTGAGAGCAGGGCCGGCCTTAGGGGTGTGCGAGCTGTGCGACCGCACAGGGCGCCATGGAACAGGGGGCGCCCTGTGGCCGACACAGCTCACTCATGGCCGGAGTGCAGGGGAGCTAAAAGAGGTACCTGGCTGGAGGATTAATTATTCTCCACCCGGGTCTATTAAAAAAAAAAATAAATCGCGGCAGAGGGGGCGGGGTTTACCGAGCGGCGGAGGCGGGGCTTATCGAGAGGCGGAGACGGGGCTAATACCTCCCGAAGCCCCTGCTGTACAGGAAGAGGGAAAGATGCTTCCCCATCAGCCAACTGCATCCACTGGAAAGAGGTAAGTGTGTGTGTGTGACTGTTTGCCTGTTTGTGTGACTGTTTGCCTGTTTGTGTGTGACTGTCTGTGTGACTGCCTGTCCTTGTGTGTGTGTGTGTGTGTGTGTGTGACTGTCTGTGTGACTGCCTGTCCGTGTGTGTGTGTGTGTGTGACTGTCTGTCTCTGTGTGTGTGTGTGACTGTCTCTGTGTGTGACTGCCTGCCTGTGTGTGACTGTGTGTGTGTGACTGTCTGTCTGTCTGTCTGTGTGACTGCCCATGTATGTGACTGCCTGTGTGTGTGACTGTCTGTCTGTGTGACTGTCTGTCTGTGTGACTGTCTGTCTGTGTGACTGTCTGTGTGTGTGACGTGTGTGTGACTGCCCGTGTGTGTGACTGCCTGTGTGTGTGACTGCCTGTATGTGACTGCCTGCCTGCCTGTGTGTGTCTATCTGTAACTATCTGTCTGTGTGTGACTGCCTGCCTGTGTGTGTGACTTTCTATCTGTGTGACTGCCTGCCTGTGTGTGTATAACTGTCTATGTGTGTGTTACTGTGTGTCTGTGTGTGTGTGACTGCCTATGTGACTGTCTGTCTGTGTGTGTCGCTGTAGCTGTGCCATTGTTTGTGCCTGTGCCTGTGCCTGTATGTGTGACTGCCTTTAACTGAGTGTGTGTGTACATGCCTGTAACCGAGTTTAAATTTCCCCCACCCCTTCCTGTCAAGGCCGCACTTTGACTGACAGACGCTCACTCACTGACAGACGCACACTCACTGACAGACGCACACTCACTGACAGACGCACACTCACTGACAGACGCACACTCTCATATACACTGACAAACAATGACATACACACATACACTATTACTTGGACACACACTGACAGATGCACACTCTCACTGACAGACGCAAGCACTCACTGAAAGATGCACAACTCCACTGACCGACACATACACACTGACTGACACACACTCACTGACCGACACACACTCACTGACCGACACATACACACTCACTGACCTACACACTCACTGACCTACACACTCACTGACCGACACACACTCACTGACGACACATACACACTCACTGACGACACATACACACTCACTGACTGACACATACACACTCACTGACTGACACATACACACTCACTGACTGACACATACACTCACTGACCAACACACACATTCACTCAGACACACACACATTCACTTACAGACACACACAATTACACACTTACAGACACACACACACACACACACACACATTCACTTCAAAATAAACACTCACAGACACACACACAGACATTTCCACTAACACTCACAAACTAATATTTTTTACATTTATTTTAAATCCACCCAGCCTCCCTGGGAAAGCTGGAGTGGATTTCTTACCAGCAGTCCAGTGTGGCTGCTGGGCAGGCAGGCAGGGGGCGCACAGGCTGAGTAAGCAGCGCTTAGTGATGCCGGGAGCCGGACTGACGTCATATTCTGGCTCCCGGCTTCATTAAGCGGCGCAGAGGAAGCTGAGCAGGAAGAGCTCAGGTGAGTATGCTCCTTCGCTGCCCGCTGCCAGCCTTGGGGGGGCTCAAAAGTGGCCAGCCGGTCAGCTCTTGAGCCCCCCAGGATGCGAGGCAAGCAAGGGATCTGCCTGGGGGTTTGGAGGGATGCTTTTTTTTGCCGCCCCCTGCAAAGTGGCGCCCAAGGCAGATGCCTTGTTTGCCTCGTGATACACACGCCCCCGGTGCCTGTGTGTGTTACTGTATTCAGGCAACTTGGTGGGAGGTGGGGGGGGCGCCGTGAAGACTTTTTGCACAGGGCGCCTAATTGCCTAAGGCCGGCCCTGCTTGAGAGCATTCATATGCTCCTACGGTTCGGTGGTTTTGGTGTCTGCTGCAGTGCTTGGAGTTCTCAGGAAGCGCTAGGAGCATCCTTCAACGTAGGTACCCAGTCGGGGTGCCAGGTGATCCGTTACAATGCCAAACTAATCTTATTTATTTTTTTGATTGGGTAACTAAAATAATAGATCAGGATGGTGCAGTAGACATTGCTTACCTAGATTTCAGTAAGGCTTTTGACACTGTTGCACATAGAAGGGTTATCAATAAACTGCAATCTAAGTTTGGATTCCAATATTGTTGAATGGGTAAGGCAGTGGCTGAGTGACAGGCAACAGAGGGTTGTAGTTAATAGAATATATTCAAAGCTTGGGCTTGTCACCAGTGAGGTACCTCAGGGATCTGTACTTTGTCCCATTCTCTTTAATATTTTTATTAGTGATATTGCAGAAGGTCTTGATGGTAAGGTATGTCTTTTTGTCGATGATACTAAGATATGTAACAGGGTTGATGTTCCAGGAGGGATAAGCCACATGGCAAATGATTTAGGTAAACTAGAAAAATGGTCAGAACATGTATAGCTTGGAGGAAAGACGAGACGGGGGGATATGATAGAAACATTTAAATACATAAAGGGAATCAACACAGTAAAGGAGACTATATTTAAAAAAGAAAAACTACCACAACAAGTGGACATAGTCTTAAATCAGAAGGGCAAAGGTTTAAAAATAATATCAGGAAGTATTCCTTTACTGAGAGGGTAGTGGATGCATGGAATAACCTTCCAGCTGAAGTGGTAGAGTTTAACACAGTAAAGGAGTTAGAATGCGTGGGATAGGCATAAGGCTATCCTAACTATAAGATAAGGCCAGGGACCAATGAAAGTACTGGGCAGACTAGATGGGCCGAATGGTTCTTATCTGCCATCACATTCTATGTTTATATATACAAATACACAACAGGGCAGCAAGGGTGACAGTCACAAAACAAGGTGGAAAAGTATCAAAACTGGAGGAGAGAGTGGAGTATGGCTCTTTAGGAGAGCAAGAGACAGACTTGGGCAAGTATAGATAAGTTACTCTGGGAGTTCATAAGCATTTCTAAAAAGATGTGTTTTGAGGGACTTCTTAAACAATTGAAGACTAGAGGAGAGTCTGATGGGGGTAGGCAGGCTGTTCCAAAAGAAGGGAGCCGCCCATGAGAAGTCCTGCAAGTGCAAGTGAGCAGTAAGGGTGCGAGCAGCGGACAGAAGAAGGTCACCGGCAGATCGGAGAGACCGAGAAGGGGCATATATATATGTATCAGGAAAGACATGTAAGAGGGGCTAGATATGGTTAGAGCTTTATAGGGAAGGTTTAGTATTTTGAATTGACACCTATAGGATACAGGAAGCAAGTGTAAGGATTGACAGAAGGGCGAGGTATGGGAGGAGTGACGAGTGAGAAAGATCAGCCTGGTGGCAGCATTCATTACCGATTGTAGCGGGGCAGTTCGGCTTTTGGGGAGACCAACTAGGAGAGAATTACAGTAGTCCATGCAAGAGATTACCAGAGCATTAACAAGCACCTTGGCAGCATCTTGCGTGAGAAAGGGGTGGATGCGGGCAATATTTTTAAGGTGGAATTGACAGGTTTTAGCAACATACTGGATATGTGGTGCAAAGGTGAGGCCAGAATCAAAGATAACTTCAAGACAGCGAGCTTGCAAGGATGGACTGATACAAGTATCATCAACTTGCAGGGAAAGCGAAGTAGAAGGATCGGCATTATGAGGGGGAAAAATAAGAAGCTCAGTTTTAGAGAGATTGAGTTTCAGAAAGTGGGAGGACATCCAATCAGAGATTGAAGAAAGGCAAGCAGTCACACGTTGCAGGACCGTAGGGGATAAGATCTGGGAAGGAGAGAGATATATCTGGGTGTCATCACCATACAGATTGTAGCGGAATCCAACCTCCATCCTAACCTCAAATCACGCACAGGGTTTTGCTCGAGAATATCCCTGTATTTAGCACCATGCATATTTCCCTCAACTCTGACCAGTTTCCGAGTCCCAGCTGCTGAAAAACATCTCCACAGCATGATGCTGCCACCACCATGTTTCACTGTGGGGATGGTGTTCTTTGGGTGATGTGATGTGTTGGGTTTGAGCCAGACCTAGTGTTTTCTTTGATGGCCGAAAAGTTCAATTTTAGTGTCATCAGACCACAGCACCTTCCTCCATACATTTTGGGAGTCTCCCACATGCCTTTTCACAAACTCAAAACGTGCCATTTTGTTTTTTTGCTGAAAGTAATGGCTTTCTTCTGGCCACTCAGCCATAAAGCTCACCTCTATGGAGCGTACGGCTTATTGTCGTCCTATGTACAGATACTCCAGTCTCTACTGAGGAACTCTGCAGCTCCTCCAGGGTTACCTTAGGTCTCTGTGCTGCCTCTCTGATTAATGCCCTCCTTGCCCGGTCCATGAGTTTTGTTGGGCGGCCGTCTCTTGGCAGGTTTGTTGTTGTGCCATGTTCTTTCCATTTGGTTATGATAGATTTGATGGTGCTCATGGGGATCATCAAAGATTTGGATATTTTTCTAAAACCTAACCCTGACTTGTACTTCCCAACAACATTGTCCCTTACTTGTTTGGAGAGTTCCTTGGTCTTCAAGGCAGTGTCTGGTTAGTGGTGCCTTTCAAAAAAGGTGTGTATATGTAATGACAGATCATGTGACACTTAAATTGCACACAGGTGGACATCATTTCACTAATTATGTGACTTCTGAAGGTAATTGGTTGCACCAGAGCTTTTTATGGGCCTCATAATAAAGGGGGTGAATACATACGCACATGCCAATTTTCTGTTTTCTGTTTCTAATACATAGTTTTATGAATATATTTTTCTCATTTCACTTCGCCAACTTAAACTATTGTGTTCTGACCCATCACATAAAATTCAGATTAATAAAATATTGAACTTAAGGCTGTAATGTAACATAATAGGTAAAATGTCAAGGGGGTGAATACTTTTACAAGGCACTGTATCTGTACGGTTAGCCCTGATAAATTCTATGTTTTAAGACGTTATAGTGGTAAACAGGGGAACTAGCTGTGGTTACAATTATTACTGCTCATTGTATTATTACAGCTTATTGTATTATTACAGCTCATTGTATTACTACGGCCTATTGTATTATTACAGCCTATTGTATTATTACAGCTCATTGTATTATTTCATCTTATTGTATTATTACAGCTCATTGTATTACTACAGCCTATTGTATTATTTAATCGTATTGTATTATTACATCTTATTGTATTATTACAGCTCATTGTATTACTACAGCCTATTGTATTATTACAGCCTATTGTATTATTACAGCCTATTGTATTGTATTATTACAGCTCATTGTATTGTTACAGCTCATTGTATTATTACAGCTTATTGTATTATTTCATCTTATTGTATTATTACATCTTATTGTATTATTACAGCTCATTGTATTATTACAGCCTATTGTATTATTACATCTCATTGTATTATTACAGCCTATTGTATTATTACAGCTCATTGTATTAGTACAGCTTATTGTATTATTTCATCTTATTGTATTATTACAGCTCATTGTATTATTACATCTCATTGTATTATTACAGCCTATTGTATTATTACAGCTCATTGTATTATTACATCTTATTGTATTATTACGGCTCAATGTATTATTACATCTCATTGTATTGTTACAGCTCAGTGTATTATCACAGCTCATTGTATTATTACAGCCTATTGTATTATTACAGCTTATTGTATTATTACTGCTCATTGTATCATTACAGCTCATCATATTATTACATCTTATTGTATTATTACGGCTCAATGTATTATTACATCTCATTGTATTGTTACAGCTCAGTGTATTATCACAGCTCATTGTATTATTACATCATATTGTATTATTACAGCTCATTGTATTATTACAGCTCTTTCTATTATTACAGCTTATTGTATTATTACATCTTATTGTATTATTACTGCTCATTTTATTATTACAGCTCATTCTATTATTACATCTCATTGTATTATTACAGCTCATTCTATTATTACATCTCATTCTATTATTACAGCTCAGTGTATTATTACAGCTTATTCTATTATTACAGCTTATTGTATCTTTGTTTTTAAACTGGTTATTGTGTAAGAATGTCTTTGCATGCTGTCCCTCCATTATTTCACAAACTGCTTTTTAAAAAAAATGGTTATTCTGGTACCCAAAGCCTGCTCCTCGGCGCCAACAGATTATCACTTTAATTCTGACTTAAAGGACCACTATAGTGCCAGGAAAACATACTTGTTTTCCTGGCACTATAGGGTCTCTAGGTCCCCCCCACCCTCAGGGTCCCCCTCCCGCAGGGCTCTAGGGTGAGGAAGCGGTAAAACACATACCTTTTCTCCACCGCCGGGCTCCCTCGGCGATGGGGACTCTCCGCCTCCTTTCCCCGTCATCGGCTGAATGTGCATGAAAATCACAGTGAGAAGCACGGAAGCGCCTCTAGCGGCTGTCAATGAGACAGCCACTAGAGGCTGGATTAACCCATTCTCTGAAACTGCTATGTTTACAGCAGAAAGGGTTAATCCTAGATGAACCAGGCACCCAGACCACTTCATTAAGCTGAAGTGGTCTGGGTGCCTATAGTGGTCCTTTAACTAAAATTTAACCGAATTGCTGACTTCAATAATTACATTTACAGAAATAAATGTATTTCTACTAATTTTATTGTATCTGCATGTATTACTATTGTGAAGATTAACAATTAGAACACCTTTATTACCTCTATATAATAGTGTGTCACTCTCTTTGTGTCAAGCTTCTTCTGTCTGTGTTACCCTGTAATAAAATTCATCAAAGAGTCAAATTAATTTTATTCTGACTGTATTTCTTATTATTAGCATAAGAGTAGACATGTTTAAAATATCTGTGATTTCATAAAACTGTAACTTAATGAAATTGTTCGGATTTAACGGGATAATTTTTATCTGTGATCAGAGTCAGACAAAGACCTTGAAGACATCAGTCAGTCTCCAGATACAATCGAGACAGAGACCGAGTCTTACTTTTCATCAAAACCCATTGAGAGAGTCAATGGAATGAGCACAGAACATGGACAGATCAGTTCTCTACAGACCACAGACTATATTGATCCATCTCTCACTTTTCAGCCAACTGATGGTGTACCGGATCTTAGTCCGATAGTGTTGGTAGATTTTAGTCTAAGTACACAAGATGTCAGTCTGACCCAAGTAAAGGGAGGGACAATCTCTGCACAGTTACTGGAAAATCCAACACCGACCCAAAGACCCGAAGACGCCAGCCTAACTCAAGCAGTACAAGTGGCTGAGTCAACAAAAAGTCTGGAAAATACTAAATTGACAAAAAGTGCAGAAAATGGTGGAAAAACTCAGAGCGCAGAAAGTCATATTAACCAGCTAATGGAAACCTCAAGCCCACCATTGTCCTTTCAGCTGCCAGTTACTGCTTACACAGTTCCTCCACTGACGGTCACAAAAAAGGAAAAGACAACGACTTCCCCTAACCCATCACAGACCCCATCTTCTAAAGACCAATTATATCTCCTCAACCAAATCTCAAATGAGAAGGCCCCACCTCACGCACCTCATATACCCGCAGGGCCAACTACGAGAAGCACAGAGGAGCCAACAAAAAAAATGTTACTTCCTACAGCTACATTGATTCCCAAACTAAAGCAGTCACCTCCATCCTCTCTAAAAAAGGTCAAAGACCAGAAGTATCCCCAGAAAGATAGACCTGTAAAAGATCCCCCATACACTGACATTAAGCCAAAGATCAATAAAGATAAAGCACTATCTCACCAGTCCACTAATTCCGCTAAATATGCACTCAAAGCAAGCAGCGTTACAAAGTCACAGAAATGGGACATACTGTCTAACGCCCCAGGTAAGAGCTCACTCACACTAACAGTCAATCACGGCCTACTAACCTCCCTGCTCTCATGGCTCACTGTACATTCTGAGCATTTTAAATGTTGACCTACCTATCACTGATAGCCATAGTCCCAACATTGTGACAGAGTTTGTCTGTGCTGGCTCCAGGCTTTATAGAGAATGATATTGGTAAATGGCGCAACCATCAAGCTGCAGGGCAAGAGAACATAGCTTTCACCTAATTCCTATATATACTTAGCGTCACTAATCTGCATGTCCTCACACTGTAACGTAGCTGTGGGTTCAATCAGAACAGAATAGTTCTCATTACTTAGAAAATAAAGCTATTTCACATCACATATAGCAAGTAATGTTTGAGACTTATTTGTGATAAGGAAATTAAGACGTAGCATCGGAATTTATTGATACATTATTTCCAAGCATCATTTCCGCTGACACTTCTTGCTGTACACACATTATCATGGACATACAATCTAGTGAAACATTTGAGGAAAGGATAGCTGAATTCGGGAACGTTTCTAATTCGGCTGTTTTGGCTTTTATTTGAAATTCCCTTTAATAAATAACGGTGTTGGTGTGTTTGCATTCCTCCCTGGCATTTTTTACCTGTACCTGGGCTAAATACTGTTATATTAAATATTATCACAGTCTCGTCTGACACCATCTCAGCTGGCCTTACATTCATCCCTGGCATTTTTTACCTGTACCATGGCTAAATACTGTTCTATTAAATATTATCACAGTCTCTCCTGATACCATCTCAGCTGGCCTTGCATTCATCCCTGGCATTTTCTACCTGTACCATGGCTAAATACTGTTCTATTAAATATTATCACAGTCCCGCCGACACCGTCTTAGCTGGCCTTACATTCATCCCTGGCATTTTCTACCTGTACCTTGGCTAAATACTGTTCTATTAAATATTATCACAGTCTCTCCTGGCACCGTCTCAGCTGGCCTTACATTCATCCCTGGCATTTTTTACCTGTACCATGGCTAAATAATGTTCTATTAAATATTATCACGGTCTCTTCTGACACCGTCTCAGCTGGCCTTACATTCATCCCTGGCATTTTATACCTGTACCTGGGCTAAATACTGTTCTATTAAATATTATCACAGTCTCTCCTGACACCATCTCAGCTGGCCTTACATTCATCCCTGGCATTTTTTTTTACCTGTACCTGGGCTAAATACTGTTCTATTAAATATTATCACAGTCTCTCCTGACACCATCTCAGCTGGCCTTAAATTCATCTCTGGCATTTTTTACCTGTACCTTGGCTAAATACTGTTCTATTAAATATTATCACAGTCTCACCAGCACCGTCTCAGCTGGCCTTACATTCATCCCTGGCATTTTTTACCTGTACCTGTGCTAAATACTGTTCTATTAAATATTATAACAGTCTCGCCGGCACCATCTCAGCTGGCCTTACATTCAACCCTGGCATTTTTTTTAACTGTACTTTGGCTCAATACTGTTCTATTAACTATTATCACAGTCTCTCCTGACACCATCTCAGCTGGCCTTACATTCATCCCTTTGCATTTTTTTACCTGTACCATGGTTAAATACTGTTCTATTAAATATTATCACAGTCTCTCCTGACACCATCTCAGCTGGCCTTAAATTCATCCCTGGCATTTTTTACCTGTACCTTGGCTAAATACTGTTCTATTAAATATTATCACAGTCTCGCCGGCACCGTCTCAGCTGGCCTTACATTCATCCATGGCATTTTGTTACCTGTACCTTGGCTAAATACGGTTCTATTAAATATTATCACAGTCTCGCCGGCACCATCTCAGCTGGCCTTACATTCATCCCTGGCATTTTTTACCTGTACCTTGGTTAAATACTGTTCTATTAAATATTATCACAGTCTCTCCTGACACCATCTCAGCTGGCCTTACATTCATCCCTGACATTTTTTACCTATACCTTGGCTAAATACTGTTCTATGAAATATTATCACAGTCTCTCCTGACATCATCTCAGCTGGCCTTACATTCCTCCCTGGCATTTTTTTTACCTGTACTTTGGCTAAATACTGTTCTATTAAATATTATCACAGTCTCGTCTCACACCGTCTCAGCTGGCCTTACATTCATCCCTTTGCATTTTTTTACCTGTACCATGGCTAAATAATGTTCTATTAAATATTATCATGGTCTCTCCTGACACCATCTCAGCTGGCCTTACATTCATCCCTTTGCATTTTTTACCTGTACCATGGTTAAATAATGTTCTATTAAATATTTTCACAGTCTCTCCTGACACTGTCTCAGCTGGTCTTACATTCATCCCTGGCATTTTCTACCTGTACCTTGGCTAAATACTGTTCTATTAAATATAATCATGGTCTCTCCTGACACCGTCTCAGCTGGCCTTACATTCATCCCTGGCATTTTCTACCTGTACCTTGGCTAAATACTGTTCTATTAAATATTATCACCTTGGCTAAATACTGTTCTATTAAATATTATCACAGTCTCGCCGGCACCATCTCAGCTGGCCTTACATTCATCCCTTTGCATTTTTTACCTGTACCATGGCAAAATAATGTTCTATTAAATATTATCATGGTCTCTCCTGACACCATCTCAGCTGGCCTTACATTCATCCCTGGCATTTTCTACCTGTACCTTGGCTAAATACTGTTCTATTATATAGTATCACAGTCTCTCCTGACACCGTCTCAGCTGGCCTTACATTCATCCCTGGCATTTTTAACCTATACCTGGGCTAAATACTGTTCTATTAAATATTATCACAGACTCTCCTGACACCGTCTCAGTTGGCCTCACATTAATCCCTGGCCTGTTTTATCAGTACCTTGGCTAAATACTGTTCTATTAAATATTATCACAGTCTCTCCTGAAACCGTCTCAGCTGGCCTTACATTCAGCCTTGGCATTTTTTACCTGTACCTTGGCTAAATACGGTTCTATTAAATATTATCATGGTCTCTCCTGACACCGTCTCAGCTGGCCTTACATTCATCCCTGGCATTTTCTACCTGTACCTTAGCCAAATACTGTTCTATTATATATTATCACAGTCTCTCCTGATACCGTCACAGCTGGCCTTAAATTCATCCATGGCATTTTTTACCTGTACCTTGGCTAAATACTGTTCTATTAAATATTATCACAGTCTCGCCGGCACCATCTCAGCTGGCCTTAAATTCATCCCTTTGCATTTTTTTTTACCTGTGCTAAATACTGTACTATTAAATATTATCACAGTCTCTCCTGACACAGTCTCAGCTGGCCTTACATTCATTCCTGGCATTTTTTACCTGTACCTTGGCTAAATACTGTTCTATTAAATATTATAACAGGCTCTCCTGACACCATCTCAGCTGGCCTTACATTCATCCCTGGCATTTTTTAACTGTACCTGGGCTAAATACTGTTCTATTAAATATTATCACAGTCTCTCCTGACACCGTCTCAGCTGGTCTTAAATTCATCCCTGGCATTTTTTTACCTGTAACTGTGCTAAATACTGTTCTATTAAATATTATCACAGTCTCTTCTGACACCGTCTCAGCTGGCCTTACATTCATCCCTGGCATTTTTTACCTGTAACTGTGCTAAATACCGTTCTTTTAAATATTATCACAGTCTCTCCTGACACCGTCTCAGCTGGTCTTAAATTCATCCCTGGCATTTTTTTACCTGTAACTGTGCTAAATACTGTTCTATTAAATATTATCACAGTCTCTTCTGACACCGTCTCAGCTGGTCTTAAATTCATCCCTGGCATTTTTTACCTGTAACTGTGCTAAATACTGTTCTATTAAATATTATCACAGTCTCGCCGGCACCGTCTAAGCTGGCCTTACATTCATCCCTGGCATTTTGTTACCTGTACCTGGGCTAAATACTGTTCTAAAAAATATTATCACAGTCTCTCCTGACACTGTCTCAGCTGGCCTTACATTCATTCCTGGCATTTTATACCTGTACCTTGGCTAAATACTGTTCTATTAAATATTATCACAGTCTCGCCGGCACCGTCTAAGATGGCCTTACATTCATCCCTGGCATTTTTTAACTGTACCTGGGCTAAATACTGTTCTATTAAATATTATCACAGTCTCTCCTGACACCGTCTCAGCTGGTCTTAGATTCATCCCTGGCATTTTTTTACCTGTAACTGTGCTAAATACTGTTCTATTAAATATTATCACAGTCTCTTCTGACACCGTCTCAGCTGGCCTTACATTCATCCCTGGCATTTTTTACCTGTAACTGTGCTAAATACTGTTCTATTAAATATTATCACAGTCTCTCCTGACACCGTCTCAGCTGGTCTTAAATTCATCCCTGGCATTTTTTTACCTGTAACTGTGCTAAATACTGTTCTATTAAATATTATCACAGTCTCTTCTGACACCGTCTCAGCTGGTCTTAAATTCATCCCTGGCATTTTTTACCTGTAACTGTGCTAAATACTGTTCTATTAAATATTATCACAGTCTCGCCGGCACCGTCTAAGCTGGCCTTACATTCATCCCTGGCATTTTGTTACCTGTACCTGGGCTAAATACTGTTCTAAAAAATATTATCACAGTCTCTCCTGACACTGTCTCAGCTGGCCTTACATTCATTCCTGGCATTTTATACCTGTACCTTGGCTAAATACTGTTCTATTAAATATTATCACAGTCTCGCCGGCACCGTCTAAGATGGCCTTACATTCATCCATGGCACTTTTTACCTGTACCTTGGCTAAATACTGTTCTATTAAATATTATCACAGCCTCGTCTGACACCGTCTCAGCTGACCTTGCATTCATCCATGGCATTTTTTACTTCTACCTTGGATAAATACTGTTCTATTAAATATTATCACAGCCTCGTCTGACACTGTCTCAGCTGGCGTTGCATTCATCCCTGGCATTTTTTACCTGTACCATGGCTAAATACTGTTCTATTAAATATTATCACAGTCTCTCCTGACACCGTCTCAGCTGGCCTTACTTTCATCCCTGGCATTTTTTTTTACCTGTAACTTGGCTAAATACTGTTCTATTAAATATTATCACAGTCTCTCCTGACACCGTCTCAGCTGGCCTACTTTAGAAGATTTGTTTTAAGAAGTAGATTATTGAATTCTTACGAGGGATACAAACTCCTAAAAGACAAGGTGGGCGAGTTAGAAACGAGATATAAGTGGTTTGGCATTGAATTCAGCATGGTTAATTGTCGAGTTCCAGCTGATCATAGAATGCACAATGAATAAAGTAAGGAATGGAATAAACACTTTTAACACAAGAATGACACATGCTTTGACAATATACACAAAGTCAATTTATTGGACATATTCTCCATTTCCACAAGACTCTGCATGGACTGATAATAAATCATATTTATCTAACTGGCAAAACGCACAAATTTTTATGCAATCCTGTCCTTCATTTCACAACCAGATATCATTTTGTCTTTCTTCTAAAACTTTTTCATTTTGATTCTTTGTTCTCTAATTTTTGTGTTTGTTTTTGACTTATTCTTAATATCCAGGCCAAACCATCTTTGGCATCCCTATTTCCAGACCGCACATATACCGAAAGCATATCTATAGACCATCGTATAGTCTACACACTTCTCCTGTTTGCCCTTATCCATGTGTCCAACAGCCCTCCAAGCTTTCACTCATGGCTCCTCTATATCGGAAAAAATCACAGACATATTCTGCAGGACAGCAAAATGTGTGGTCCTTCTACAAACCTTCAAAGAAACCCAGCCGTAAGAGCCCTTGCAAACCATCTGGATACAAAACACTAATGTACAGCATATATCTGCCACAAAATAACCCTTTGGACAAAAAGGTGGTGAATTTAAACACTGTAGAATAAGAGAACAAACAAAGATGATCCGGTAAGTCCTACGGGAAAAAAGCTTATTTATTCTCATTTAAGTGATACAGGAGTGACAATGACAATATTTAGACTAAACTGAAAAAGCTGAAGTTGGACCAGTTGTATTGTCTGGAAAACGTGATGTATTGACTTATAGGCGTCCCTTCTCCTCGTTAAAAAGATAGGCAAGCCTATTCCTCCCATGACTGGATAACCTTTAAACTTTTCCTATAACAAAAACACTTAACAAATGTAACACGATTGGCTTGAATGTTCTTATTACAATTTTTTTTTAATACTTTCTCCTTTTCTCAAAGTTCATATTTCCTAATTTGTTAAATTGCTAAGAAATACTAACAAGACTAAACTCTTACTTTGCACACCCAAATAGACACTGGTGCCATCAGACACACACCCTGGGACACTGAGGGAAAGATATCTGGACCTGGGACTGAAGACATGGGTGGACCCAGTAGGGGAGGAATCACAGATGTTCTGTCCAACATTTTATCGAAATTCTGGCCAAGATGGTTTTAGTAAGTTATAAAATTCTGTTCTATTTTCTCGTAATACAGCTGTAGAATGTAACATTGAAGGAAATCTGTAGGCACTGTAACTCCATCATAGTGTTTGGAACCTGGCTGTGTTAAACCATTTGTTAATGTTGTAATGGTAAAGGAGAGTGCTCCTGTTTGGAATAATGAGGAAGCACTGGGCAACTGTGATTGGCTGAGTATGTCACCTGACTACTTTCAGCCTATCACAGTGTTCATTGCTGGTATGAATCAGTGTGGCTAGAAGGAAGTGTGTAATCTCTGCCATAGCCACGTCTCCAGTATCGGAGGAGCTAAGGGAAGCCAGGGTCCCTCATTCTGTGTTAAACTGCTCGAAAATTTAACGCTTAATAAAGTGACAGCGTCAGGGGACTGCAGGCACTATAACCACTTCAATGAGATGGAAAGGTTTAACACTGAATGGAGGGACAGCGCCAGGGGACTCCAGGCACTATAACTACTTCAATGAGATGGAAAGGTTTAACACTGAATGGATAGACAGCGCCAGGGGACTCCAGGCACTATAACCACTTCAATGAGATGGAAAGGTTTAACACTGAATGGAGAGACAGCGTCAAGGGACTCCAGGCACTATAACCACTTCAATGAGATGGAATGGTTTAACACTGAATGGAGAGACAGCGCCAGGGGATTCCAGGCACCATAACCACTTCAATTATATGGAAAGGTTTAACACTGAATGGAGGGACAGCGCCAGGGGATTCCAGGCACCATAACCACTTCAATTATATGGAAAGGTTTAACACTGAATGGAGGGACAGCGCCAGGGGACTGCAGGTACTATAACCACTTCAATGAGATGGAATGGTTTAACACGGAATGGAGGGACAGTGCCAGGGGAATACAGGCACTATAACCACTTCAATGAGATGGAACGGTTTAACACTGAATGGAGGGACAGCACCATGGGACTACAGGCACTATAACCACTTCAATTATATGGAATGGTTTAACACTGAATGGAGGGACAGCGCCAGGGGACTCCAGACATTATAACCACTTCAATTATATGGAATGGTTTAACACTGAATGGAGGGACAGCGCCAGGGGACTCCAGGCACTATAACCACTTCAATGCGATGGAATGGTTTAACACTGAATGGAGGGACAGCGCCAGGGGACTCCAGGCACTATAACCACTTCAATTATATGGAACGGTTTAACACTGAATGGAAGGACAGAGCCAGGGGACTCCAGGCACTATAACCACTTCAATGAGATGGAATGGTTTAACACTGAATGGAGAGACAGTGCCAGGGGACTCCAGACACTATAACCACTTCAATGAGATGGAATGGTTTAACACTGAATGGAGGGACAGCGCCAGGGGACTCCAGGCACTATAACCACTTCAATTATATGGAATGGTTTAACACTGAATGGAGGGACAGCGCCATGGGACTACAGGTACTATAACCACTTCAATGAGATGGAATGGTTTAACACTGAATGGAGAGACAGCGTCAAGGGACTCCAGGCACTATAACCACTTCAATTATATGGAATGGTTTAACACTGAATGGAGAGACAGCGTCAAGGGACTCCAGGCACTATAACCACTTCAATGAGATGGAATGGTTTAACACTGAATGGAGGGACAGCGCAAGGAGACTCTATGAATATATAGCTAGGATGGAATGGTTTAACACTGAATGGAGGGACAGTGTCAGGGGACTCCAGGCACTATAACCACTTCAATTATATGGAAAGGTTTAACACTGAATGGAGGGACAGCGTCAGGGGACTCCAGGCACTATAACCACTTCAATGAGATGAAATGGTTTAACACTGAATGGAGGGACAGCGTCAGGGGACTCCAGGCACTATAACCACTTCAATGAGATGGAATGGTTTAACACTGAATGGAGGTACAGCGTCAGGGGACTCCAGGCACTATAACCACTTCAATGAGATGGATGGTTTAACACTGAATGGAGGGACAGCGCCAGGGGACTCCAGGCACTATAACCACTTCAATGAGATGGAATGGTTTAACACTGAATGGAGGGACAGCGCAAGGGGACTCCAGGCACTATAACCACTTCAATTATATGAAATGGTTTAACACTGAATGGAGGGACAGCGCAAGGAGACTCTATGAATATATAGCTGGGATGGAATGGTTTAACACTGAATGGAGGGACAGCGCTAGGGGACTCCAGGCACTATAACCACTTCAATGAGATGGAATGGTTTAACACTGAATGGAGGGACAGCGCCAGGGGACTACAGGCACTATAACCACTTCAATGAGATGGAATGGGTTAACACTGAATGGAGGGACAGTGCCAGGGGACTGCAGGCACTATAACCACTTCAATTAAATGGAATGGGTTAACACTGAATGGAGGGACAGCGCCAGGGAACTCCAGGCACTATAACCACTTCAATTATATGGAATGGTTTAACACTGAATGGAGGGACAGCGCCAGGGGACTCCAGGCACTATAACCACTTCAATTATATGGAACGGTTTAACACTGAATGGATGGACAGCGCCAGGGGACTCCAGGCACTATAACCACTTCAATGAGATGGAAAGGTTTAACACTGAATGGAGGGACAGCGCCAGGGGACTCCAGGTACTATAACCACTTCAATGAGATGGAATGGTTTAACACTGAATGGAGGGACAACACCAGGGGACTCCAGGCACTATAACCACTTCAATTATATGGAACGGTTTAACACTGAATGGATGGACAGCGCTAGGAGACTCCAGGTACTATAACCACTTCAATTATATGGAATGGTTTAACACTGAATGGAGGGACAGCGCCAGGGGACTCCAGGCATTATAACCACTTCAATGCGATGGAATGGTTTAACACTGAATGGAGGGACAGCACCATGGGACTACAGGCACTATAACCACTTCAATGAGATGGAACGGTTTAACACTGAATGGAGAGACAGCGCCAGGGGACTCCAGGCACTATAACCACTTCAATTATATGGAATGGTTTAACACTGAATGGAGGGACAGCGCCAGGGGACTCCAGGCATTATAACCACTTCAATGCGATGGAATGGTTTAACACTGAATGGAGGGACAGCACCATGGGACTACAGGCACTATAACCACTTCAATGAGATGGAACGGTTTAACACTGAATGGAGAGACAGCGCCAGGGGACTCCAGGCACTATAACCACTTCAATTATATGGAATGGTTTAACACTGAATGGAGGGACAGCGCCAAGGGACTCCAGGCATTATAACCACTTCAATGCGATGGAATGGTTTAACACTGAATGGAGGGACAGCACCATGGGACTACAGGCACTATAACCACTTCAATGAGATGGAACGGTTTAACACTGAATGGAGAGACAGCGCCAGGGGACTCCAGGCACTATAACCACTTCAATTATATGGAATGGTTTAACACTGAATGGAGGGACAGCACCATGGGACTACAGGCACTATAACCACTTCAATGAGATGGAATGGTTTAACACTGAATGGAGGGACAGCGCAAGGAGACTCTAGGACTATATAGCTTTTATAGCGACTAGCCCAATCATTAATTTTGTATTACAAGAAGCAGCCACTTACTGCTCATTGTTTAATAGATACCACCTGGGTTTGTAGTCCCTGTGCTTGATACAGGGCCATTTAGACTTTGGTGATTAACCCTGCTGGTGCATCTTTCTGTAAGGGGGCAGCCATCGTTAGGTCATCATTCAATTAGTTGCTAAACCTATGCACATTTTGAAAGGATGAACCATTTGCCAAGCGCATTATTGAGAGGTCCATCAAATCACTATTCAAGGGACACTATAAGCACCCAGACCACTTTGTCTTATTTAAGTGGTTTTAACCCTGCAATGTATTTCTGAGAAACGGTAATGTTTAAATTGCAGGGTTATTCATGGGGGGGAACTATAGTAATAGTCTGTTGTGTATTGCTAACACCAAAGTGTCCCTCTAATGAATTAGCACTGCCTCTTAGTTGCCTGGGTTGACTTGCTTAGACAGGCAGTGCTTTTGACTGCAGAATTTAAAGCAGGACTTTCAGAATCTGCCCAGATGATGGTCTGCAGCTCACAGAATTATTTGAAAGCAATAGTTGGACAGGGAAGCATGGGATTCCTAGTTCAGAAACATCTGTGGTGGGCTGAGTTTGAGATGCCTGCCAAATAGCAAAAACAAATAGGTGTTTCAGCACATACGCAATCATTATGAGCTTATAGTACACAATAGTATAGTCTGTAGGTGCTAAAACTGACTCCTTTCTGAGCATTTGTTACTTGTGCATCACTAATTTGCAGTTGTATAAATAGATTTGTGAAATTCTAAACCAAAACGGCCATTTTTTCTCTTTGCTTCTTCAAACTAGCGGCTCCTTAGCTGTTAGCCTGTCAGTTCCTCAGTAGTTTGTATTTTGTGGCCTATCAGCATGAAGCTATGATTCTCTATGAGAACCATCACTTTAAAACCGCACTCATGTTTTTCTGTCTTTTTGTTTTCCATTCCTTATGCTCCCCTGTGTCTTAATTATACTCCCTCCACTGCCACTTTGCTTTATTTATGTTCAAGAGATTTGAATTTCTATTTTTTATTACATTTTTCACATCTTAAAAATACATATTTGTTAAATATAGGGCTGAGTATACAAAATATTAAATATTCTGGAAGTGTTAGTCCCCCTTTACAGATGAGTGGCCTCCTATCACACTCAATCCCGTAGAGTAGTCATCGTAATAAGTAACTTATTGATACCCATATAACAGACCCAGATAGCTGATATTTGGAGAACCCGCGGCAACGATCCTTTATTTACTAATGTGTGTAAAAACCAGTGAAAGGCATACATTAACTTACCAATCTATTATTTCTAAAAGATCAGTGAGATTTACTGATCTGACTCTCGGTATAAAAACTAGCATAACTTGACAGATAAAGTGTAATAGATCGCCTATCGTAAAGCTTGTATACGGATATAAAACACGCCGATATAAGAGGAAATCCGCTGGGTAATATAGAAATAGAAACTGCGACACTTTTTGATGTTTACAGCTTTTAAAAAAAAAGGAACAGGTAAAAATAGCCATGCTGAGGTCTTGTAGACCTCAGCAGGTCATAGAAACAGTTTTGCGAAGTTAACATGGCTTTTTATTTGGCTTTTTTTGAGCTGAAGAAAAAAGACTGAATAATCAGTGAAGAATTCAAATTATACATTTTTTACAGGCTTTTTTTTTTTTTTTTTGCACCTTTTCACAATTGAGGGGGAAGATAGGAGGGACATCATTTGAGGAGTAAGTAGGAATTTGGGGAACCCTAACCACCCAGCTGGGTTACTTTATATAAATATATCTGGACCCAGAGGGTGGAATCCATAACAATACAGGTGGAATATATCGACCATATGATAAAGATTAATCTTTTCAACAGGAACACAGCAGGGCTCCAGGGTAAGTGGTAAAAACTATTTATTAAAACACTACTGTGGAGAAATTAACCTCGCCACTTGTGCTTGGAGAGGACTACTTGCCATGTGATTATGGTCCCTGGGAGGTTTGGCCCTTTAAATACAATATTTGGGCTAATGGATTTATATTGTGCTGCTGCTGGCCCTTTAAGAACTGCATTGTGGCTTATGGACCATGCCCCTTTAAGAACCATCTGGGGACATAGAGACTTTGTGTGACAATGCCCCTTTAAGATGTGTCCCCAGTGTCCCCAGACTTAGTAAATATTTCCCACTTGGTTCAGTAAATGGGGCTTACTGAACCAAGTACCACACAGGCGGACCACCCAGAAGTGGAAGTGTGCAGGCAATTTACCTCCCAGGCTGGGAGCCTGCTGTAGGTAAATTGCCAAACGCTGGGGGGGCCGCAGTTCGTGAAAACGAACACGTGGTGGCCATCTTTGTTCATTCGAACGAGGTCAGCGGTGTGTGTAGCCAAATCCATGGAACTAAAATCGGCTACACATTTCACCGAACACCGCTGACCCTTACCTTCTCCTACACTCAGTTTTCAGCTGCAGAGACTAAGTCCCGATCGGCAGTTTGAACTCACTGCTATACTAAGCTAAATGCACGAACGGCCCCGTTCGTGAATTCGAATGGGACTTAGTCATTTTTCTGTGTAAAATAGACCGACTGCACAGCCTGATTCTCTGGAATTGTTTTGGGCATGAAAATGTGCTGGCGGTCGGTCATAAAGGACTCCCAGCTAACTTTTTATGTTCTGGAGGGATTTGTAGAATTTTTGGGTATGTTTATATTTAAAGTATGCTGATTCTGAATCTGTATGTTTTATGTAATGCATATTTTTAAAGTTACAGTATATGTGTAAAAAGTGTATTTTTCCTGCCTATGATAAATTACATTAACCCATTGTGTTCAGTAATTATATCACAGGCAGAGGGGAGGGATGTATGTTAGGGCTGCGTGTGTTTTACGGTTTTCCTGTAAATGATTGGTTGTACTGTGTCCCACCCTGTGGGATGTCCCCTTGCAGGGGGACTTGCATAAAAGCCAGGGTATGGTCATTAAAATCAGATCATCTTGTACCTTTCTTGAAGCCTTGGCTCATGTTTGGGGGATTGGAGAACTACACTCTGGGGATTGCTATAATCACTATACTCCCCAGGGTATGATCACTAAGTTCTGCTAAGAGCTTGTTCCTGTTCCTGCTCTCTGGGGAAAGAGAGGTTCACCACTGGAAGCTGGACCCTGGCCTTGGGTCCAGGGTGGGTGGAGACGGCGACACCCCGGAGCAGATGCATCGCTGGAAGTGGGGTCTGCAGTGCTGATGGAGTCGGTTGGAGTGCTTGGAGTCCTCAGCGAGCACTAGGCGCATCGATTGGCGGAGGTACTCAGTCAGAGTGCCAGCGTTCCGTCACATTTGGTGGCAGCGGTGGGATGGCGTCCTAGTGCGAGGACCAGCAACTCGGAGACACCGGTAATGTGTGGAGTTATGGATTTATAATTGAGGGCAATGCTAGAACTCGTGCAGCGACCCTGACTTTGGAGGAACTGGAAGGGATGAAGCAAGCTAGCCCCCGGGTAGCGTCACCCTTCGAGGAGGAGTTCCTATGGAGACTACAAAATGCCTTGGCCCAGGAGTGTGGCCCAATTTCAGCCAAGGAGGAGCTGGCCTGGAGAGATGGGATACGGCGGGATCTCTGGCAGGAGGCCTTGGAGTGGACACGAGGTCCAGGGGGAGAGAATCTTCCAAGCGAAGCCGAGCGCAGTCAGAAACAAACGGTGCTGAGGAGGCCCTTCCTAGGGTATCTGCCCCGGAACGAGTGGGTGCTGGAATTGCAGAGGTTGATCAGAAAAGAACTGTGGCTGGATGAGGCTTACCGTGCGCTACGGTGGTTCTCGGTCCAGAGGTGCCCCTGGATGGCTGAGAGTGAGAGGCCAGAGGGCCGTGATTACGATGGCTCTGGTCTGTTATGGGAGGCATTGGAAGAGGACTGTGACTTTGGCAGCACCAAGGAGTCCCTGCATTGGGACATCAGGGGATGGCGATTGCTTGCACTGGAGCTCCCTGATACTACTGGACTGGGACCAGATATCAAACGCCTGATCACAATCGAATGGGAGCTAGAACAGGAGTACTATCAACTGTTCGACTTAGCCCAACCACCGGCCCTCAGCCCAGAAGATTACCTGGACATGGTACCCTCTTCTGTCCAACCAGCCCCAGAGGTGAGCAACCTTATAGAATGGTCCTGGGAAGACCCACAGATGGCAGGTGGAAATGGGACTAAGGTCTCTCCACTGGCCCTGCAGGGATGCTGTGTATCCGGCCCAGATCCCCAGCGGCAGTGCATCTCACAGGGAGAGGAGACAACCCGGAGGAGGTGATGGTAGATCCCTCCACCTTACAGCAACCAGCGTCCTAGGGAGTGGGGGCACCCAGCCTCCCTCTCCCACCGCAGCAGGAGATACCAGGTGAGGGGGAGAACAGCCCTAACCACACTGGCGCAGATAGGAACTGCGGTCTCTGTGCCAGTCCTACAGGGATGCTGGACGGGTGGTCCAGATCCCCAACTATCCCTGCAGGGATACCAGGAGGAGGAGGTAAGCAAGCCCTCCCCTCCACGAATACAACCCGACCGGGTCCTGGGGGCAGTGGATGAACCTGCAATACCCACTGCCCCCTTCCCAGCAGACGAGCTGGCACCTGAGCAGAGCTCCGCTGGCCTCTGCCCTACCCTTGCACCTTGCCCAGAGCCTGACACCCTGCAGGCTATCCCAGCAGAAGAGCTGGCACCTGAGCAGAGTGCCGCTGGCCTCTGCCCTACCCTGCTAATCACTATACTCCCCAGGGTATGATCACTAAGCTCTGCTAAGAGCTTGTTCCTGTTTCTGCTCTCTGGGGAAAGAGAGGTTCACCCACTGGAAGCTGGACCCTGGCCTTGGGTCCAGGGTGGGTGGAGACGGCGAGACCCCGGTGCAGCTGCATCACTGGAAATGGGGTCTGCAGTGCTGATGGAGTCGGTTGGAGTGCTTGGAGTCCTCAGCGAGCACTAGGCGCATTGATTGGCGGAGGTACTCAGTCGGAGTGCCAGCGTTCCGTCACAACTACAATAAAACATAACAAGATTAATGCACTAATGTATTTCACCCTTATCAGGAGGCTTCTTCAAAGTGTTAGTATTGATGTATGATCCCTGCTATATGTTAATATTAGGCTGTAATTCTCAATATTTATTTATTTATAAAATATTTTACCAGGAAAGATACATTGAGATTTCTCTCGTTTTCAAGTATGTCCTGGGTATATGTTATTTTAGGTCTGTAATTATCAGTAAATGTTATTATAGGGCCGTAATTGTCGGTTTATGTTATTATAGGTCGGTAACTGTTGGTATATGTTATTATAGGTCTATGATTATCAGTATATGTTATTATAGGCCAGTAATTGTTGGTATATGTTATCAGGGCCGGTGCAAGGATTTTTGCCGCCCTAGGCAAAAGTAAAGTTTGCCGCCCCATTGACATCACAATGCCCCACCCATATGACCTGCCATGTTAACTAATGCTACTGCTGCAGTGCCGCTGTGTTTACATTAAAAGGCCTGCAGGGACAGGCTATAGACACCAGGACCACTACATTAAGCTGCTGTGGTTCTGGGGACTATAGTGTTTCTTTAATGTGAGGTAAATTAGAGATTAGTGCCACGAATAATATACTAGATTACCTACTTACAAGCAGATGAGGATGATGATGGGCTCTAGCTGCAGTCTGGCTCCACTGGTCTGGTGTATAACAGGATCTCTGGAGGCTGTTTGTAACTGTGGTCACACAAATCAATGTTCTGGGAGAACGAGAAGCAGCTCCATTTTTTGGGGGCCCTTTACACAGCTCAAGGTCTGGGTCCCAGGGTCCACCTTCATTTTCCACCAATGAGTTTGTTCACAGGGGATGGAGTGTGTAGGGAATGTCCTGATTTGTGTGTAAGGAATGCATTGTGTGAATCTGTGTTTGTATGTGTAAGGGCTGCAAGGTGTGTTTCTGTGTATGTAAGGGATGAAGTGGGTGCTTTGAGTGTGTTTAAGGGGTGCATTGAGTGTGTGTAAGGAATGCATTGTGTGAATCTGTGTTTGTATGTGTAAGGGATGTAAGGGATGAAGTGTGTGAGTCTGTAAGGGGTGCTTTGAGTGTGTTTAAGGGGTGCATTGAGTGTGTGTGTAAGGGATGCATTGTGTGTAAGGGTTGCATTGCGTGTGTGTGTGTAATGCATTGTGTGTTTTTCTGTGTGCAAGGGGTTCATTGTCTTTGTGTGTAAGGGGTGCATTGTGTGTGATTGTGTGTGTGATGGATGTCAATCTCTCCCCCCTCCCTTGTCACTCTCTTCTCCCCCCTCCCTTGTTACTCTCATTCCCCCTCCCTCCCCTGTCACTCCCCCCTCCCTGTCAATTTCTCTCTCTCCGCCAATTCCCCTCCCTGTCAATGTCTCCCCCCTCCCTGTTAGTTCCCCTGTCAGTTTCTTTCTCCCCCCACCTCCCTGTCAGTTTCTTTCTCCCCCCACGTCCCTGTCAGTTTCTTTCTCCCCCCACGTCCCTGTCAGTTTCTTTCTCCCCCCTCCCCTGTCAGTTTCTTTCTCCCCCCTCTAATGGTTTCTTTCTTACCCCTCCTGTCGGTTTCTTTCCCCCCCCACCACTCCTGTCGGTTTCTTCCCCCCCCTCCCCTGTCAGTTTATTTCCCCTCCCTCCCTGTTTCCTTCTTCCCCCTCCCCTCCCTGTCAGTTTATTTCCCCTCCCTCCCTGTTTCCTTCTTCCCCCTCCCTCCCTTGTGGGGATATTTATGGGATAATAATAGTAACAGTGAGAATTGCCCACTAATTCAATTCTCAGATCCCAAAGAACGTTTATCGTAAGTGAAAGTATTTCATATAAATAATATTCACAGTTTTATAAAAATAGATTTATTTATAATAACCAATTAATTAATAATAACATGTAACATGCATGACAATAATCAATGAATATCCAGTATAAAATGATATGCAATACAAAGGAATGGCTATACACATTTCAATGGCTAAAACAGCATTATCTGTCAAGACTTTATTTATGACTATCTTTAACACAGACTGAAAGTGAAACTTTTCACAGCGAAGAACAGAATTCCTCAGAGTGCAGCGTAAGGTCGTAAAGTTTAGCAGACAGTTAGAATAACCCTTTCAATGCTGGCTAGATCTCTTAAGTAGTTAAGATCTATTCTTATGTAATTATTAAACAAAATAACATTTAAACCAGTTCATTAGTCATTTCCTGGAACCATCCAATAAGAGAATCTACCATATTTTATGAGCAGAGTTTGTTTTTAATTTGTCTAAAAGATATCTTATCTTAATTTAGAGCAAATCAATACACCTGGATAAAAACAGCGGTATGCTAACACGTGATAATATCACATTAATATATAATTATTCTTAATTCCACCTGCAGAATGGAATGTTTATAACTATATATTCTTTGGTTAACTAAGATTTCTTAATATGGAAATCTGACCGTGCTTTATCCAGTCATATATAATGCTATTAATACATTTTAATTAATTTAAATTAATTAAATGAAACCAGTATAATTACCAGTTGAGTAGATATTTCATCCGATTGGTAGATAGTCTCAGGAACTTATTTGGATGTCTCTCTGCATGGAGGTGTTGGTTAGAAAGTCAGTAAATTCTAAATGTTAGAGTTTTAGGAGTAGAGTGTTAGTCTCAGATGTTGTCCGAGTTGGAATCCCCAAACTTCCAATTCCTCTCTCCTCTCCTTTGCCTCTCCTGCATCCATCTATCTTCCCTTTGTCTTAACTTTTAAAGGGCCAGACTCTCTGTACGTCATCAGTTGATAACCCAATAGAAGCACTAGAGGTGTGGTTATCTTCCAGATCGCAATTTAGTTATTTGGTCTATAGAGGGCAGTCTTGTCCCACTAAACATACCTATCCAGGAAAGAGTTAACTTTTCCTGGTGGCTATTTTGACGTCATTTTGGCCTATCCAGATAGTGGCCATAACTTACGTATCCTTCACAGATCAAAGGGTTTATTTAAGTTTTGTCCAGACTGTGTGTCTGGCAATCTGAGTTTTGACCCGTAACTTACAATGGGACCTTATATGTATAGACAGTTAAATTTTATTATTTAATCTTCTCTGTCACAATTGTCTGGGTTTAGAATTGATTATATTCTTCTTATCACTTGTTTATACTATGCATTCCTTAGCTCTGGCAAAGTGGCTAGTCTTACAGAAAGAAATCTTGTGTCTTTTTGTTAACTTGAAAATAACAAAATGGAGTCTGGTCTGTTCAGAGTGACTCAGAATATACACTTTTAATTTCTATCATAGCACAAGATGTCTGCCGATATAAATACCCTGACACCCTGTTTCTTTCTCCCCCCCCCTCCCTGTTTCCTTCTCCCCCCTCCCTCCCTCTTTCTTCTCCCCCCCTCCCTCCCTGTTTCCTTCTTCCCCCCCTCCCTCCCTGTTTCCTTCTCCCCTCCCTCCCTCTTTCTTCTCCCCCCTCCCCTACCTGTGTTGTAGCGTGGCCGAGCCCTGTATAGTCGGCGGGTACAGGTAGCAGCTGCTCCCTGTACCCGGCCGGACTATGCACAGGGCACGGCCGCCTACATAGAGGGGCTGACAGGAGGGAGCGCTGAGCGCTGAGCGCTGAGCGCTTCCCTCCTGTCAGCCCCTCTCCCCATGCTGCGCCCGGGCGGTGCGGTCCACCCTCATGGACGCACCGCCCGGGAAAAGCTGCAGCCGCCCGAGGCTCTTTACAGAGCGCTCGGGCGGCTGCAGGATAAGCGGGGCCGGCGCTCCTGGCGGCGCCCCTTCCCAAGGGGCGCCCTAGGCGGCTGCCTAGTCCGCCTTACAGGTAGCGCAGGCCCTGTACGTTATTATAGGTCTATGATTATCAGTATATGTTATTATAGGGCTGTAATTGTGGGTATATGTTATTATAGGCCAGTAATTATCGGTATATGTTATTATAGGTCTATAATTATCAGTAAATGTTATTATAGGCCGTAATTGTCGGTTTATGTTATTATAGGTCTATGATTATCAGTAAATGTTATTATAGGGCTGTAATTGTGGGTATATGTTATTATAGGTCTATGATTATCAGTAAATGTTATTATAGGGCTGTAATTGTGGGTATATGTTATTATAGGTCTATGATTATCAGTAAATTTTATTATAGGGCTGTAATTGTGGGTATATGTTATTATAGGCCAGTAATTATCGGTATATGTTATTATAGGTCTATGATTATCAGTAAATGTTATTATAGGGCTGTAATTGTCGGGATATGTTATTATAGGTCTATGATTATCAGTAAATGTTATTATAGGGCTGTAATTGTCGGTATATGTTATTATAGGTCTATGATTATCAGTAAATGTTATTATAGGGCTGTGATTATCGGTATATGTTATTATAGGTCTATGATTATCAGTATATGTTATTATAGGTCTATGATTATCAGTAAATGTTATTATAGGGCCGTAATTGTCGGTTTATGTTATTATAGGTCGGTAACTGTTGGTATAGGTTATTATAGGGCTGTAATTGTTGGTTTATGTTATTATAGGTCGGTAACTGTTGGTATATGTTATTATAGGCCGTAATTGTCGGTTTATGTTATTATAGGTCTATGATTATCAGTAAATGTTATTATAGGGCTGTAATTGTGGGTATATGTTATTATAGGTCTATGATTATCAGTAAATGTTATTATAGGGCTGTAATTGTGGGTATATGTTATTATAGGTCTATGATTATCAGTAAATGTTATTATAGGCCGTAATTGTCGGTTTATGTTATTATAGGTCTATGATTATCAGTAAATTTTATTATAGGGCTGTAATTGTGGGTATATGTTATTATAGGCCAGTAATTATCGGTATATGTTGTGGCGGAACCAACCTCGCCACTATGCACTGGAGAAGCCTGGTTGCCAGCCTCCTACCATGTGACTATGGCCCCTGGGATGTATTGCCCTTTAAAGACATGATTTGGGCATAATGGATTTGTGTTGTGCTGCTGCTAGCCCTTTTAAGAACCATCTGGGGACATACTGTGGAGTTACTGGGTGGCCACCATTTCCTGTATCAGAAGCACATGGTGAGAACAATGGATGGCGGCCATTTTAACTCACAGACACTGTGTGGACTTTTCAACACGGTGCCATCTCGCCAGTATGTGTTGCACAGAGACATCGTGCGGTGGTTTTGGACTATACAGCAGGGGACACATTATACAGTGATTGTTTTTTATTTAGCCTGTATATGTTCTGCAGAATCTGCATTAAACTGTATTCTCCAAAGTACTGAATGGATCTGGGTGAATTTTGGATATGTGGTTCACCCAGATCCCCCAGTTCCAAGGATATACTTTTTATGGGGTTATTGCATGTTTTGGGGTCCCTGTGATGTGTTTTATGAAACTGTATTTCTCTGGCTGTGATAATTAGATTACCCATTGTGTTCAGTAATCATATCACAGCCAGAGGGGAGGATTTTGTGTGGGAGTGTCTGGGTATATTGTATGGATTGATTGGCTGTTTTGTAATGCCCTGTGGGCTGTACTATGTTTGTGGATTTGGAATAAAAGAGGCTGTATCTGCCAGTCCAGGGAGTTCCTGTTTTAACCCTCAAAGTGAAGTGTCGTCTCATTATTGGGGGAAGGATTTATTGTATGCTGTTCCAGTTTGACTGCTAGGAGAGTAAACCTATTCGTATGGTTCCTATTCAACTGTCTACAGCATTCATATGCTTGAGAGCATTCACATGCTCCTACAGTTCGGTGATTGTGGTGTCTGCCAGAGTGCTTGGAGTCCTCAGGAAGCGCTAGGAGCATCCTTCAACGGAGGTACCCAGTCGGGGTGCCAGGTGATCCGTTACATTGGTGGCAAGCGGTGGGATGGCGTCCTAATGCGAGGTAAAGCAGCTCGGAGACACAGTTCGTGGATTTACAAATGGAGGGCAACGCTAGTACCCGTACAGCGACCCTATCTACAAAAGAACTAACTTCAGCAGAGCAAGCATGGCGTATGACTACACTCAGGAGAAGTTTGACAGAGAGGTTAATGAGGTGCTGTCTACCTTTGGACCCAACCCCCCAGAGAGAGCCGTGCAGCTCGCCAGGAAACTAGTAGGAGAATACCTGCAATCTCTAGTAGATTTGGCCAAAAAGGAGTCCCAGGGAGCCAAAGGTGTCGTCCTTCCTCCCCAGCAGCAGTGTGAGTCCCAGGGAGCCAATGGTGTTGTCCTTCCTCCCCAGCGGCAGTGTGTACCCCAGGGAGCAGAAGGTGTTGTGCTTCCTCCCCAGCGGCAGTGTGTGTCCCAGGGAGCCGAAGGTGTCGTCCTTCCTCCCCAGCGGCAGTGTGTGTCCCAGGGAGCTGAAGGTGCCGTCCTTCCTCCCCAGCGGCAGTGTGTATCCCAGGGAGCTGAAGGTGTCGTCATTTCTCCCCAGCGGCAGTGTGTGTCCCAGGGAGCTGAAGGTGCCGTCCTTCCTCCCCAGCGGCAGTGTGTATCACAGGGAGCTGAAGGTGTCGTCCTTCCTCCCAGCGGCAGTGTGTATCCCAGGAGCTGAAGGTGTCAGCCCTTCCTCCCCAGGGGCAGTGTGTACCCGTGGGAGCTGGAAGGTGCCGTCCTTCCTCCCAGCGGCAGGGAGCCAAAGGTGTCGCCCTTCCTCCCAGCGGCAGTGTGTACCCCAGGGAGCAGAAGGTGTTTGTCCTTCCTCCCCAGTGGCAGTGTGTGTCCCAGGGAGCTGAAGGTGTCGTCCTTCCTCCCCAGCTGCAACGTCCTGTTGTTTGGTGTCCTCCTCCCCAGCTGCAGTGTGTATCCCAAGGAGCTGAAGGTGTCGCCCCTTCCTCCCCCATGCTATGAGCAGTGTGTAAAAATTCCCCAGGGAGCAGAAGGTGCCGCCCCTTCCTCCCCCCAGCTGCAGTGTGTATCCCAGGGAGCTGAAGTGTCCTCCCCATGGCAGTGTATCCCAGGGAGCCAAAGGTGTCATCCTTCCTCCCCAGCGGCAGTGTGTACCCCAGGGAGCAGAAGGTGTTGTCCTTCCTCCCCAGCGGCAGTGTGAGTCCCAGGGAGCCAAAGGTGTCGCCCTTCCTCCCCAGCGGCAGTGTGTACCCCAGGGAGCAGAAGGTGTTGTCCTTCCTCCCCAGCGGCAGTGTGTGTCCCAGGGAGCTGAAGGTGCCGTCCTTCCTCCCCAGCGGCAGTGTGTATCCCAGGGAGCTGAAGGTGTCGTCCTTCCTCCCCAGCGGCAGTGTGTCCCCCAGGGAGCAGAAGGTGCTGTCCTTCCTCCCCAGCGGCAGTGTGTATCCCAGGGAGCTGAAGGTGCCGTCCTTCCTCCCCAGCGGCAGTGTGTACCCCAGGAAGCGGAGACAGTCGGTCTCGCTCCCCAGCAGCAGGACAATATATTAAAAGGGGAGACAGTTGGTCCCCCCCTCCAACAGCAGAGAGTGTTCCAGGGAGAGGAACCAGTTATCACCTCCCCAGCAACAGTATCAAACACGAAAGGAGACAGTCGAGACCCCTTCAACAGCAGAGAGTGTCAGGGAAAGGAGCTTGTTATCCCCTCTCCCCAGCGGCTGAAAGTATGTATGGGAGAGGAGCTTGTTACCCCCTCTCCCCAGCGGCAGCTTAGCCCACCAAGGGGAGACAGTAATCTCCACAACAGTGCAGATGGGACAGTGGTCTCTGCACATGCACCACCGGGGGTAGGGACAGTCGGTCCTGTCCCCCAGCAGCAGGACTGTTTAGTCTGTCTCCCCCTCCAGCAACAACCAGGCTCCAACCAGACTACTCCCGTGGTAGTGCTGGCACCAGGACAGAGTACCGCTGGTCTCTGCCCACTCAGCAACCCACCCAGTACGCTTACCAGTCACCCACACAGCCATGGTGAGGCACCTGGACACGGACAAAGTTCTCCTCTACTCAGGTGTAGTAGCCAGTTATTGTGGGTGGGCTGTATTACTGATTGTGTTTTGTGGGTGGGCTGCTGGACTAACAAGGGCACTGACTGGCAGGAGGTCAGATACCCTGTTATTCTGATTGGTAAAGGGGAGAAGTGTGGCGGAACCAACCTCGCCACTATGCACTGGAGAAGCCTGGTTGCCAGCCTCCTACCATGTGACTATGGCCCCTGGGATGTATTGCCCTTTAAAGACATGATTTGGGCATAATGGATTTGTGTTGTGCTGCTGCTAGCCCTCTTTAAGAACCATCTGGGGACATACTGTGGAGTTACTGGGTGGCCACCATTTCCTGTATCAGAAGCACATGGTGAGAACAATGGATGGCGGCCATTTTAACTCACAGACACTGTGTGGACTTTTCAACACGGTGCCATCTCGCCAGTATGTGTTGCACAGAGACATCGTGCGGTGGTTTTGGACTATACAGCAGGGGACACATTATACAGTGATTGTTTTTATTTAGCCTGTATTTGTTCTGCAGAATCTGCATTAAACTGTATTTTCCAAAGTACTGAAAGGATCTGGGTGAATTTTGGATATGTGGTTCACCCAGATCCCCCAGTTCCAAGGATATATGGGGTTATTGCATGTTTTGGGGTCCCTGTGATGTGTTTTATGAAACTGTATTTCTCTGGCTGTGATAATTAGATTACCCATTGTGTTCAGTAATCATATCACAGCCAGAGGGGAGGATTTTGTGTGGGAGTGTCTGGGTATATTGTATGGATTGATTGGCTGTTTTGTAACGCCCTGTGGGCTGTACTATGTTTGTGGATTGGGAATAAAAGAGGCTATATGTGCCAGTCCAGGGAGTTCCTGTTTTAACCCTCAAAGTGAAGTGTCGTCTCATTATTGGGGGAAGGATTTATTGTATGCTGTTCCAGTTTGACTGCTAGGAGAGTAAACCTATTCGTATGGTTCCTATTCAACTGTCTACAGCATTCATATGCTTGAGAGCATTCACATGCTCCTACGGTTCGGTGATTGTGGTGTCTGCCAGAGTGCTTGGAGTCCTCAGGAAGCGCTAGGAGCATCCTTCAACGGAGGTACCCAGTTGGGGTGCCAGGTGATCCGTTACATATGTTATTATAGGTCTATGATTATCAGTAAATGTTATTATAGGGCCGTAATTGTCGGTTTATGTTATTATAGGTCGGTAACTGTTGGTATAGGTTATTATAGGGCTGTAATTGTTGGTATATCTTATTATAGGCCAGTAATTGTCGGTATATGTTATTATAGGTCTGTAATTATCAGTAAATGTTATTATAGGGCTGTAATTGTCGGTATATGTTATTATAGGTCTATGATTATCAGTAAATGTTATTACAGGGCTGTAATTGTTAGTATATTCTATTTTAGATAATAATCACATTTCTCTCTTTTTTCAGGTTGTTCAAAGAAGCTAATTTGCTCCCATTGTGTTCACCTCTACCTCCTAGTTCGCCCAGCTCTGAACTGCCATGTGGGTTTACAAAGTAACTCTGTGGGACATTTGTGGACTACCTGACTATAGTTAAATTATTTACCATTACTACCAATGCCAGCGATACAATATGAAGCAGAGTAAATCTTCTAATCGACGGAAAATTGAAATGGCAATAGAATAAAGCATTGTAAATCCCACTATTTATCCTTGATATCAATATGTTGTGATTATTTCATAGAATCAGATAATTTTTATTTGTTAATTGGCTGACATATATAATGGTGTGATTAGTGGCAGACCCAATGGTTGGAGATGTCACGAATGCCCAGTGAATATGTGGTAATGCTATTATCCTGTGCAATCAAATCCATTTAAAAAAATACAGAAATTATTATGGGACAAAAAACTTATTGGGGGATAGAATAAGGTTCAGTGTGGGTTGTGAGATAGAATAAGGTTCGGCAGGATTAGGTTCAGGGTGGTTGCAGGATAGATTAAGGTTTGGGGGATAGAATACGTTTCAGGGGGTTGGGGGATAGAATATGGTTCAGGGGCGTTGGGGGATAGAATAAGTTTCAGGGGGGTTGATGGAAAGACTAAGGTTCAGGGGGTTGGGGATGGATTAAGGTTCGGGGTTTGGTGGGTAGAATAAGGTTGGGGGTTGAAGTTCAGGGTGGGTTGTGGATAGAATAAGGTTCAGGAGGATTAGGGATAGATTAAGGTTCAGGGTGGGTGCAGGATAGATTAAGGTTTGGGATAGAATAAGCTCTTAGCGCTAGGGGATGAACAAGGTCTCAGGGGTCGGGATAGATTAAGAAGGTTCGGGGTTGAAGTTCGATGAAGGATAGTCAAGGTTTGGGGGTTGAAGTTCAGATGGTTGGGGGTTAGAATAAGGTTTGGGGGTTTGGTTGATAGAATAAGGTTTGGGGTTGAAGTTCAGGATGGTTGGGGGGATAGAATAAGGTTCAGGGTGGGTTGTGGGATAGAATAAGGTTCGGGAGGATTAGGGGATAGATAGATAGATAGATAGTTCAGGGTGGTTGCAGGATAGATTAAGGTTTGGGGAATAGAATAAGATTCAGGATGGTTGGAGGGATAGAATAAGATTCAGGAGGGTTGGGGGATAGAATAAGATTCTGGGAGTTTGGTGGGTAGAATAAGGTTCGAGGGGGGTTGAAGTTCAGGATGGTTGGGGGATAGAATAAGGTTTGGGGGTTGAAGTTCGGGATGGTTGGGGATAGAATAAGGTTCAAGGGGTTGAAGTTCGGGATGGTTGGGGGATAGAATAAGGTTTGGGGGGTTGACGTTCACGGTGGCTGGGGGGATAGAATAAGGTTCGGGAGGATTAGGGGATAGATTAAGGTTCAGGGTGGTTGCAGGATAGATTAAGTTTTTAGGGATAGAATAAGTTTTAGGGGGGTTGGGGATAGAATAAGGTTCAGGGAGGTTGGGGGATAGAATAGGGTTCATGGGGTTGGGCGATAGATTAAGGTTCGGGGGTTTGGTGGGTAGAATAAGGTTTGGGGGGTTGAAGTTCGGGATGGTTGGGGGATAGAATATGGTTCTGGGAGAATTGGGGATAGAATAAGGTTCAGGGAGGTTGGGGGATAGAATAGGGTTCATGGGGTTGGGGGATAGATTAAGGTTCGGGGGTTTGGTGGGTAGAATAAGGTTTGGGGGGTTGAAGTTCGGGATGGTGGGGGGATAGAATAAGGTTTGGGGGGTTGAAGTTCAGGATGGTGGGGGGATAGAATAAGGTTTGGGGGGGTTGAAGTTCAGGATGGTTGGGGGTTAGAATAAGGTTCGAGGGGTTGAAGTTCAGGATGGTTGGGGGATAGAATAAGGTTTGGGGGGTGTTAAGACACCTCCCGTGTCTTTAAGTCAAACCGCCGTTTAGTAAACCTTCCCCGGCTGCAGTACCGTCTCTGTTCTCTTACTCTATAATCCACGAACGAAATGCAGGGGAAGCGACAATCTCCCGATCGAAATCCACGAACGGCTCCAAACTCCCGAACGGCAATATACGAACTGCTAGGAACCGTCGAACACTAATATCCCCAAAGCGGCTTTCGTTCCATCCAGCAGTCTCTAACCATGAAGAAGAAATCCCCCCAATAACGAGATATAGAAGCTCCACATTGAGGGTCAAATAAGATCTGGTTTTACTGTGGGCTACCTGCCCGTATTTATGCAGGTCTCCCACCTGGTGGACACTCCCCTAGGGGACCAGATGGAAGACTTAAATTACAGACAGATAGAAGGACATTTCTGACACACAGTCACATCTCTTACCCACAGTGCATTCTGATTCCCTCCCCTCTGTCCTGGAGTTAATTACCAAGTAACTCAATTAACTCCAGGACAAGGACAGTCGCCATTTTAAACATAAAATAATAAAAGACATAAAAATGCATAACTACATGAAAACTGAACATTTCCCATTCGTATTACATGTCCCCAGATAGCCTGGATCTGAGTGCATATTATTAGCGAATAGCGCTCAGATCCCACACACATAGTTCAATCGCCATGGAGTCAAAGTTCTTACAGTCTTTCGGTATACGAATGACTCCATGGGAGGGCTATCTGGGTTAAGTCTTTCGTATGTTCTCAATCTCCCGAACGGCCGGTGTTCGCATGCTTTCGTGGAGGCAGCCAGGCGTTCCCTTGTTTCAGCGGTGTTCGGCAGAAAAAGTGTCCGTTTTCAGTTCCATAGAAATAGAGCCAAACACCGCTGGGCGTTCGCATGATTTAAAATGGCCGCTGCCTCGTGGTCGACATACGAACGACGACCACCCTGAGTTCGGTTTAATTGAGAAGTGTCTGCGGTTAACCACAACGTTATAATGGTGATCACTTCGTTAACCTGCAGCACACTCCTCACTTGGGTGGCCGTTCGTTCAGCAGTTTTGTTCGGGAAAAAGAGTCATTCGAATGGCTGGGCTATAGACCCCAGCCATTCATACGAACGGGGACAAACAGACGAACGGGCAAAAATCCAGCAGACAGATGGTTCTGTCACAGGGGGGTTGAAGTTTGGGATGGTTGGGGGATAGAATATGGTTCTGGGAGAATTGGGGGATAGAATAAGGTTTAGTGGGGTTGACGTTTGGGATGGTTGGGGGCTAGAATAAGGATCGGGAGGATTGGAGGATAGAATACGGTTTAGTGGGATAGAATAAGGTTCAGGTTAGGGGTTCAGGGGCAATCTATTTCACTCAGCAGTATGTAGATAATGTTACATGTTCTATTATTCAGATGACTAAGCCCCTCCCCTGATATTATTTTAGCGTGTCAGATTCAATTGGGTTATGAATCTTTCAATATTATTTTAATAAAGAGCATTATTTAAAGAAAACATAAGGCTATTTGAGTTTTATTTAAACCAAGATTTGCTTTTATTGTCTTTTTTTTTTGGATATATTTAGCTATTGCTCTATTTAGATACATGGATGGACGGATAGATGAATGGATAGATTGGTTGTCAGGAATGAAAGATAAAGCTATATGGAAACAAAGATCAATCCTTCTTTAAACATGAAAATAAATGAAACCTGGGAATTAAAAAATAAAATATATCCTACTAATCATTATTTAATCAGGACAGTTAAAAGATATGCCAGTTAGTGCAGCTTAAAAGGCTTTAGAAACAATGCAATTGTGATTAGCTACGGGCTTTATAAAAAAACAACCCCTTCACTATCAAGTAATTTGAGAATTACTCCCCGTCAGAATGCTGGCAAGTTGGTTTAAATAATTAGATATCTTCACTGGCCCGTTAGTATCAGTGTCATAAGGGTAGTGCCAGTATAATAATGTTAATGGTAGAGTCATAATGTTGGTATTGGCGTAATAATATTACTGGAAGCATTATAATATTTGTTAAGGTTAGTTCTGGCGTTATAATAGTGATAGAGTATAATGTTACTGTCAGTGTTATAATGTTACTGTAAACGTTATAATGTTAGTCTCTAAAACATATGGGAAATCAATAAAAAAAAAATACTGTTATCAACTCTAAAATGAAAATATGGTAAAAAGCAGCAATTGCAATATACAGATGTGTGAATAATATGAACCAACAAAAAGCATAATAGATTGGAGAATTATAGTGCTAGTCGTGGCAGATGCAATATACGTATGGTCACTAGGTGGCAGCATTGTATCTTAAAAAACTTCACCTAGGAGGGGAAGGTTAACTAAACATTGCATGACCAGCAGACATTATTGTGAAATTGTAAAAATCAAATACAGTAGAAATATGGATTAAACCTTTGATAATCAAATGACAAGATAGATATACTCTCAGTAACTAGGCCAAATATTTAGTAAATACAAGAAATGAAGGGAAATATGTCGCTAGTCTCAGTGCATAGACCGCCTTGAGAGCAGCTGCATCACCTGGAAATATATGTAACTATGTAGTAGTTGTGATAAACTGGCTAAATCAATATGTTTAGCTATGTAGTAGTTGTAATAAACTGGCTTAAAACATATATAATAAAATATAATGGGGACCAAATATAGTAGATGGTAAGTAGACAAAACTATATATATACAAGTGGTACTAATGCTAATATGCCAACCAGAGCAATAAATCAGGTAGGGATATCATACAACATTCTTTGATGGTTATATACACCCAAAACTAAATTACAGCTTTATTTTGAAAAAATGCTAAATCTCAATCATAATACCCTAATACAAGGCTGTCTCTGGGTAGTGGAAAAAAGATAAAAAAGGTTAGCGCTAATAATAAATTGAATAAAATAAATAAGAGGCAGCAGCCTTATAGGGGGTCACCCTCTAACCCTCTACAGTAAGAATATACACAAAAACAAAGAAAAGGCTGCGCCAAAAGGGGTGAATAAAACAAGTAAATTAGGTACAAATAAAATAGTCTATAAAAGAGTCCCAATAATGGATGATGTCTCAACTGATATGGTGTCTTCTTTGGTAGTAGTCGTCACATTTCCATGAGCTAGGACCAGCTCTGGTATGATGGGCATACGGCGGATAACCCTCCGCTTATGGGGTGCTTGTCCTCCTGGAGAGTGCTGCAGTCCAATTCTCAGGAAAAGAAATAAAAACAGCCAATAGTGCTCTCTGGTGAGGTAGTTAGCAGAAAGATTTAAAATAAATAAAATATACTCACAAGTAGAGTGCAGGTCTTTCTGCACTCTATTATTCGCGTGGGTGGTATGATCCCCACCTTAGGATATGCCAGGAACAATAAATAAGAATAAAAATAATATAAAAAGGTAATATATGTGAAATAATTTATTAATACAATATATTAAAACCAATAACGCGTTTCGCCGTGGAGGCTTTATCAAATTGGAATAGTGTTAGTACCTGGCACATAAGGAGTATATATAGCTTATACATACATTCAAAATTGGCGCCAAAAACGATCACCAATCAGAGTAGTACAAAATATAAATAGGGAATATACATACAAAAGATAAAAGGTAATATACAGTATAAATATATTGGGGCATAAGATAGTTTTTATATAAAAATAATGTAAAAACAAGCATTATTTAATGTGGAGTAAATGTAAGATTAAAACTGTAGTGTTCGTGCGTGTCACGTGACCCGCAATGCACTCTGGGATCTGTAGTGCCGGTCCACGTGACCGCACGTCATTGGCCAATATACACACACAGTCCGTACGGCCAGAGCTGGAGGAAACGGCACGCACGGACGCAAGAACAGCAGGGCGGGTTCAGGCTCTGTCACGTGACCCGCTGCGTCATATAACAACAGTACCCGCGGGTCACGTGACTAAGGCCGCAGGGAGAAATGGGAAATGTAGTTATTAGGCTATATGGCAAGAAAATGTAATATGAATGAGAAATAAATAATGTAAACATGCAATTAAAATATAAAACTATAAGAAGATATAAAAATATATAAAATATAAGGCTAAGATAGTAGATAAAAAAAATTACACATTTTATATATATACAGCCACAAAATGAATGATGATGACAAAAGTGGATAAGTGAAAATCACATAAAAAAAGAGGCATAAAATAATGAATCTATATAGATAATATCAATAGTAAAAAATAGATTAATAAGTAAAATCCAAAGAAAAAATTATTTCAAATAAAAAATTATAAGAAATTAAATAAATCAAAATCTACATTAAGACCTTGGGGTGTTAGGGTTTGTAAGTTAAATACCCATTCCATCTCTGATCTACCAAGAATATTTTTTATGTTACCACCTCTCCAAGGTATTTGGCATTTCTGAATTCCTAAACATTTGAGAAATTTAGGATCTTGGTTGTGGTTAATAAAGTGCTTAGATACAGAGTGGTTTAGGTACCCATTTCTTAAATAGTCTTATCTTAAGGCACCTGGTGGTCATACCTACATATTGGAGGCCACAAGGGCACGCCAATAGGTAGATAACATTGGTAGTATTACAACCGATGAAGTCTCTTATAGTATAACTTTTATTAGTTTGGTTAGATTTAAAGCTAGTAGTTTTAGATTTAGTTAAGTCAGTGTTTTTACATACGGTACAGCGTTTGCATTTATAAAAGCCTTTCGCCCCTTGTGCTCTTTTATAGACTATTTTATTTGTACCTAATTTACTTGTTTTATTCACCCCTTTTGGCGCAGCCTTTTCTTTGTTTCTTTGTTTTTGTGTCTCTGGGTAGTGTCTACCTATTGCTGTATTTTATCAGCGGGATGGGTACTGCGCTTATATATGGGATAAAATCCCCTCTGTCTACAGCAGAGTACAAATATGAATTTAAGCACAGACCCAATCCATCAATAAATAATAATCATAAAATAAAATAAAGTAAATTATAAACAGGAAATAGATCATAGTAGAACACAGAGAGAGATGGAGTTTAGTATATAATTAGAAGGTCAGTATCTAGAATACTGACAATGTTCAATTAAAAAGCCTCTCTCCCTGGTAAACTAACTAGATAGGCATAAAGGCAGAAATTAGATAAGTAAAGTTCAAAATCAAAAAAAAATCAAAAATCAAAAAAATCCCATAAATCTAGTGCAAATCATGGTGCTCTAAACACCAGTGCCCAGTGCTCATATAATATGAGAAAAACGCCCGACGCGCGTTTCGGTGCCTCAGGAGATGCACCTTCGTCAGATGTTTGCTTTTGGTAAGCTTTCACAGCTTTACCACTAGGGGCAGTTATAAAGTCTCCTCCTATTTCCATTGATTATATGTTGATTATTTGCATTCTCCATGGATTCTTTATGTATTTAGGTTAAGGTTTATTTCTTGTGTGGCAAAACTAGCCACTTAAGACTATTCATATATTGCATGTGTGGACATCCTTGTTTCAGCTGTGAGAACTAGTGATGTCGCGAACTTCCGCAAATGTTCGCGAACCGGCGAACCGCCATAGACTTCAGTGGGCAGGCGAATTTTAAAACACACAGGGACTCTTTCTGGTCACAATAGTGATGGAAAAGTTGTTTCAATGGAACTAACACCTGGACGGTGGCATGCCGGAGGGGGATCCATGGCAAAACTCCCATGGAAAATTACACAGTTGATGCGGAGTCTGGTCTTAATCCATAAAGGGCAGAAATCACCTAACATTCCTAAATCACAATGGATACGGATTGATACCTGACATATGACATATTGACACAGAGCAGAATAGGGACTGTTCCCCCTACATAGGGTCACTTGGCAGGTATGGATTGACACCTGTCCTCAGAGACCATGATACACACTGACACAGAGCAGAATAGAGACTGTTCTCAAACATAGGGTCACTTGGCAGATATGGATTGACATCTGTCCTCAGAGACCATGATACACACTGACACAGAGCAGAATAGAGACTGTTCCCCCTACATAGGGTCACTTGGCAGATATGGATTGACACCTGTCCTCAGAGCCCATGATACACACTGACACAGAGCAGAATAGAGACTGTTCCTCCTACATAGGGTCACTTGGCAGATATGGATTGACACCTGTCCTCAGAGCCCATGATACACACTGACACAGAGCAGAATAGAGACTGTTCCCTACATAGGGTCACTTGGCAGATATGGATTGACACCTGTCCTCAGAGACCATGATACACACTGACCCAGAGCAGAATAGGGAATGTTCCCCCTACATAGGGTCACTTGGCAGATATGGATTGACACCTATCCTAAGGATCCCTGATACACACTGACACAGAGCAGAATAGGGAATGTTCCCCCTACATAGGGTCACTTGGCAGATATGGATTGACACCTATCCTAAGGATCCCTGATACACACTGACACAGAGCAGAATAGGGAATATTCACTAAATGCCAAACATTGTTATACAGGGGAATATTCAGTAAATAAGGATACTGTCCTCC